GTGATTGATTAATCACGATCCTGCTTAAAGCCCTTGACGTAAAAAGCTGATTTTTGGAAAACGGATTGACTTTAGGGTGTAGAGGTTCGATAAGAAGGGATTTTTCGAAACTCGAATTCTAAGGGGGTGAAACTACCCTCAAATATTAGAATATTTTTTATTTAAAAACCGGTGAGTTTTTCGAAAAACTCTTAAAACACGTATATTTTATTATGTTGTTTCACATATTTTCAGATTTTAAAAAAATATATACAGGGTGTTTCATAAAATATGACCATTGAGTAATCACTATTCTGCTTAAACTGCTTGACGTTTAAAGCTGATTTTTGGCAAACGGATTGACTGTGGGGTTGAGGTTCGATAAGGAGGGGTTTCTCGAATCTCAAATTCCAACAGGGTGAAAACGCCCCTCAAATATTACAATATTTGTTATTTAAAAAACGGTTAGTCTTCCGGGAAAACGCCTGGACACGCATAATTTATTTTGTTTTTTACATATGTTGACATTTTTTCAAAAATCATACAGGGTGTTCCAAAAAGCTGAGTTATTGATTAACCACGATTCTGTTTAAACTGCTCGACGTTTAAAGCTTATTTTTGGCACATGTGAGAAAATTTTATCCAGTCTGTATGTTAATGGAAATTCTTGTTTTGCTTTATCATCACCATTAGAAATTATTAATTCGACACGAACGAAGTCGCAGGTACACGCTATAAGTTTAAGTGTAAAATAAATTCGAACTCTAGTGTGTAGTTGGTTTACTTATGAAGAATATACTACACATTTTCTTATATTGTTATTTTTTGACCGCAAATGGTAAAATCATAACTATATAAGAGCTTCTCGCCCGTCGAGTAAGATGCACCCTGTACACTGCTACTCAATTCAGGATCTACGCGGATCGAGGGGCAGGGTGTAGGTAGATCGGAATGTATAGGTAAAGACGGGTGGCGGAATTTTGGCTTTTTTATATCGCAATTTGTAAACAGCGCTTATTTGTAAACAACCACCGTTTTTAGAGAGGTATTTTAGATAACAATCGATATTTAGAAATGTTTTGACACCCTGGAAATATTACCACCGAGCACGTCATTGTTGCAACTTGCAACTGCGTTAATACGCCTGGCGGTGACCGCCTCATACTTTCAGATATTTAGCAGTAAAATAAAGAAACCTGTTATTTTTAAGCTGTTATTTTAAGCTGTTTTTTATAAATAACTATAACAGTTTCAACTGTTATCTAAAAATAACAGTTTTGCCCATCACTAAAAAAAACACACAATCGGACGCCATTTTTAGGAGCCACGCCATCACAAACGCCATACACTCTCTTTCCTTGTCTAAGTTAGGGATATTCATATACTTATAAACTCTATACAGATTATCGCCTATCCCTGTAGTTTTGGAGTAAGCCGAGTTAGAGACAACTAGATAATCGGTCCATGTATATTTCCCATAAGTTCGTCTGTTAGGCAGACACTGGTGCAACAGCGCAACTCCAAAATTCCGAATATCGATTAGCCCTTAGTCTGAAGATTAGCCAATTGTCGAACGGGAGCGCAAACGAAAGCCGTACGAAGTTGGACGAAGCCGTACGAATGAACAGCTGGTGCTAGCGTCTAGTCTCTTATTGGTCCGATCCGATCGATAATTCAAAATCCAGGCTTGCGCACTACGTTTGAGCAGGCCTAACTGAGCGACTTATGCCAAATTCCTTCAGAATATTTATATACCCATTTCACCGGCTCGGCTGTACTGCTTTACAGAATGGAGAGTTTGGAGTCGATGTAGTTAGTTTATAAATATATGGGGATATTAGGCTCTAAAATCGCCACATCACAGGTTGTCGTCATATATACAGGGTGTCCCAGGCTGAGCATGCATTAGAAGTTTCTAGAGAACTACAATATCTAGATCGGAGATTTTTTGCACATCACTGTTTCACAACGAGATCTATCGATTAAAAATATTTTCAATATGGCGGCACTTCCGGAAATACCGGAAGTTGACAGCAACTTTCTTATTTTAAACGGGTACCCCCATTTTTTATCGCATACTTAAATTCTCTGCAAAATTTTATGAATTCTGATATCAAACACTCTATACTAACATAAACCGTTTCTGAGAAAAAAATATTTAAAATTTTTGGACGAAAAAAACTGCCTGTCAAAAAAATCGGTATATAGCCTAAACGTCAAATTTAGTGATTACCACCTGTGGTAAGCCACTGTGGCATAAAGAGAAATGTGGCTATCTATTTCAAAATTTAAATTGTTCGAATGTCATATAATATTAGCCGTAGCTGTCATGGAATTGAGCGATCAAAAAATTCTCATAAATCATTTTTTTTTAATGGAAACCCATTTTTTTATTTCACTAGTAAATAGGTTGTTCATTTCATTACTTTTTGATTATAGGTACATGTTCCTATACCTATAAAAATCATTTTTAAGTTATTTAATAAGATTTAGTTTTAAAGCGTATTTTTTTCTTGATTTGATCTAGCTTCATTTGACATTAAGTATCAAACCATCGGACAATTTATTTCCTTCTGTCAAAAAACTAATTATTGGAATTTCATATATTATAAGCACTGCTGGTAAAACTTTATAAAGTGTATTTATAAAAATATATCTCGTATTTTAGTGATAGCTAATGACAATATACCCTTTAAAACTATATATCTTAAATAACTTTTTTTTGATTATTTTAATGATTTATTTTATGAATAGGAACATGTAAAATCAAAAAATAACGAATTAAAAAACCTTTTCACAGGTGAAATAAAAAAAGTGGGTATCCATTTGAAAAAAATGATTTATGATAATTTTTTAATCGCTCAATTCAATGACAGCTACGGCCAATGTTGTATGACATTCGAACAATTTAAATTTTGAAATAGATAGCCACATGTCTTCATTTTATGCCACAGTGGCTGTGGTGATCACTAAATTTGTCGTTTAGGCCTATACCGGTTTTTTACAAATATTTTTTTTTCTCGAAAACAGTTAATATTAGGTATAGAGTGTTTAATATCAAAATTCATGAAATTTTAAAGAGAATTTAACTATGTAATAAAAAATGGGAATACCCATTTAAAATAAGAAAGTTGCTGCCAACTTCCGGTATCTCCCGGAAGTGCCGCCATATTGAAAATATTTTTAATCGATAGATCTCGAGAGAGCTGGGTGATTTTCTGTAACTCCCCGAACTTCTAGAAGGCGATTTAATATTTTTTTCGTAGCTAACTTTATCTCTTTGAGGCGAATACTAATTTACTGGCAGGTGAACAATGCAGTATTTTTTAAAACGAAAGTAAACTGATACCTTGGTGTGGCATTTTATTATGTAACCATAATCTTACAATTCTACAGGGTGCTACAAATTCGAGGTACGTGCATTGGTATCTCGGAAACCGTAAGAGATACGAAGATAGTTAAAATAGGGCAAAGTTGCGCTTTAGAATGTTAACCAAGATGCCATCAAAAAAGTTTTAAAAATTTCAAGGATTGCTGATTTTTTTGGAAAAAACGGATTTTTTTTTCGAAAATTAATTTTATTTTTTCCTGTCGTTACTTTTTTGAAAATCAAAAAACTAATTGCATATTCTCATAGTCACTTTATTAGGACTATCTGATAGTATTTTTAGTTTTTCAAATTAGCTGATAATTTGTGAGATACAGAGGCCAACTTAATTTTTTTAAATAGAGACCTGCATTTATTTCAGAATTTGAAAGTACTCGGTCTCCTAAGTACAATGATATGCCACACTTATTTTTTTTTGTTTCAAAAGTGAAATACAACAAGTGACAATACATTTCAACATTTGCAATAAAGAGTACATTCTGAAGTATAAGAAGATATGTCCAAAGAGCTATAAATAAGATGAACGAAAAATACATTTTTGTGGATCAAGAACGGAGACAACACTTTCGAACATGTAGAGCATTAGAAACTAGTTTGTAGAAGTTGATTTATTTATAATAACTACGATTAATATTATGCATATTATTAGATCGTACACTGATATTTCAAATTCACAATAAAAAAAGTTAAAAACAATTTTTTTTAAATTGCTGACCTGGATATTATTTATCTGAATCTTTCAATTGGCTCGATTTTCCTTATTCAATGTTAATTAGCGCTGATCCATATTGTTGCGATGAATATAATCAGATTAAATAATTTAAAAAACCAGAGTCGGACTTGAAATTATTTTAAATAATAATTAAATAGTTTTGTTATTGTTAAGGTGCCTAAAACAAAAAAAAGTATCAAGTGTGATATATTATTGTACTCAGGAGACCGAGTTCCCTCAAAACTTCAAATAAAAAATGCAGGTCCGAATTTAAAAAAATTAAGTTGGCCTCTATCTCACAAATTATCAGCAAATTTGAATATCAGATAGCCGTAATAAAGTGACTATGAGAATGTGTAATTAGTTTTTTGATTTTCTAAAAAGTAACGATAGGAAAAAATAAAATTGATTTTCAAAAAAATCCCTATTTTCCAAAAAACTCAGTAATCCTTAAAATTTTGAAAACTTTTGTGACGGCATCTTCGTGAACACACTAAAGCGCAACTTTGCCCCAATTTAACCATCTTCGTACCTCTTACCGTTTCCGAGATACCAATGCTCGTACCTCGAATTTGTAGCACCCTGTATAAGCACAAAAGGCAGGAAGTAATTTTAATGAAGATTTTATACAGAATCTATCGCTATGGTTCAGCAACTTAATGTTTCTTAAGGCCAATATTACACTATCAAATTTTCTTTGTTAAAGATCTTTTATGAAAGATATTTATGAAAAATTTGACATTGTTAATATACAATATTTTAAAAATCACACATTTTATACTGTGAAATTCTTTAATAAAATAAAGCATGCTTTTTTGATAATTATTTAAATGTTTAAATTTGATAGTGTAATACTGGCCTAAGTTGGGACATAAACTTAAGTTGTAAATCAAACCGATAAGAAAAATGAAACACCAGAAGTACTGAGAACATGATTTTACTTTTCATATCACTCTAATTCATCTTGGAAATTACATTTGCTTACACCTATGATTAGTTATATTAATTAATACCTCCTTGAGTCTCTTACTGAATATTTTTTATAGCTATTGTTCACTGGAGACCGACGCCTATTTTCCCTATCATCATAGTTCTGCCTGAAGTTCCTGCGAGGTGAAATTTGTCTAGCATTATACCTCGGCGGTGGACTTTTCCTATTTTCCCTGTATAGCGGTTTCCTTTCTTCTGATCTTCTCGAGAATTCGGTGCCTCTCGGCGGTGAAATATACCTATCCTTTTCAAAAGGCGATCGCGGTCTGGGTTCTTTGGGAAACGAACTATAAGAAAAGTCCGACGGTTGGTGGTTTTGCTGATGATAACTGTACTGATTATCAATATCCTTGGATAAATTATTTTGATTTGCTCTTGCATAATCTTCCTGGCAACGATCTATGTGATGTAATGGAGAAGAATAGTATCTATCTCTATTAGTTTGAGGCGAATTACGCCTGTCTACTTTATGTGAAAAATACGGACTGGATTATCTCGATCGGAAGCGTTGACGACCTGGTGATTCGGGACGAAACGAACCTCTATCACGACTATCGTTAAATCTATCGTTAGTTAACGGTTCATAGTTATCAGGACCTTTTGAGAACGGTCTCTGACTATAACTGTTCCTATCTTTTTCCGGAGAATGTCGAGGTCTAGAAAATGAATCGTTTATAGGCGAGTGGTACCTCGGCTTGGGTTTTGAGTGGTCCAAGTGAGAGGTGGGTGATTTCCTGTAACTCCCCGAACTTCTGGAAGGCGATTTAATATTTCTTTCGTGACTAACTTTATCTCTTTGAGGCGAATACTAATTTACTGGCAGGTGAATACAGTATTTTTTAAAATGAATGAAAAGAAACTCCAAGTAATCTGGTACCTTGATGTGGCATTTTATTATGTAACCATAAACTTACAATTATATAATCACAAAAGGCACGAGGTAATTTTAATGAAGATCTTATACAGAATGTACAGCTATTGTTCAGCGACCTAATATTTTAAGGTGGGACTTGAACTTAAATTGTGTAAACCAAACCAAACTAATAAGGAAAATGAAACACCAGAAGTACTGAGAGCATGATTCTACTTCCCATATCACTCTAATTCATTTTGAAAATTACATTTGCTTACACCTATGATTATTTATATTAATTAATACCTCCTAGAGTCTCTTACTGAATATCTTTTAAAGCTATTGTTCAATGGAGACCGACGCCTATTTTCCCTATCATCATAGTTCTGCCTGAAGTTCCTGCGAGGTGAAATTTGTCTAGCATTATACCTCGGCGGTGGACTCTTCCTATTTTCCCTGTATAGCGGTTTCCTTTCTTCTGATCTTCTCGAGAATTCGGTGCCTCTCGGCGGTGAAATATACTTATCCTTTTCAAAAGGCGATCGCGGTCTGGGTTCTTTGGGAAACGAACTATAAGAAAAGTCCACCGGTTGTTGGTTTTGCTGATGATAACTGTACTGATTATCAATATCCTTGGATAAATTATTTTGATTTGCTCTTGCATAATCTTCCTGGCAACGATCTACGTGATGTAACGGAGAAGAATAGTATCTATCTCTATTAGTTTGAGGCGAATTACGCCTGTCTACTTTATGTGAAAAATATGGACTGGATTCTCTCGATCTGAAGCGTTGACGACCTGGTGATTCGGGACGAAACGAACCTCTATCACGACTATCGTTAAATCTATCGTTAGTTAACGGTTCATAGTTATCAAGACCTTTTGAGAACGGTCTCTGACTATAACTGTTCCTATCTTTTTCCGGAGAATGTCGAGGTCTAGAAAATGAATCGTTTATAGGCGAGTGGTACCTCGGCTTGGGTTTTAGGTGATCCAAGTGAGAGCTGGGTGATTTCCTGTAACTCCCCGAACTTCTGGAAGGCGATTTAATATTTCTTTCGTGGCTTATTTTATCTCTTTGAGGAGAATACTGTTTTCTTGGCACTGAGTTTCCAACAGGTGATCGCGATCTTCCTCTTGGAGGCGAACGAGGTGATTTTCTTCTTTGGGGTGAACGAGGTGATTTTCGTCTTTGTGGCGAACGAGATCTTCCCCTGTGATCACTTATGGGAGACTTTCTAGGATTATCTTTTGCAGGAGAGAGTCTAGGATGTTTCCTTGGTGGGGAATGTCGTTCTCTGCTAGCCGGTGATCTGGAATTTCTGGGACGGGACCGTTTTCTAGTTCTTTTCCCGTGTTCTTTGTGGTGTCTTTCTTCTTCCCTTCTACGTCTCTCCTTTTCCTTGCGCTTCTTCTCTTCTTCTTCCTCTATTAGTTCTAACGCGATGGGTTTCTTGAACGGCCGATCTCTTCCGCCGAAACGCAACTGACCAGATTCTTTTTTGCCTCCAAAACCACCTCCGAGTCTTCTTGGTTTCCATCCTTTCAATAATCTGTAATTCATATTAAATATAAATTGCCGTATGTGTGCTAGGGATATTATTGTTTTAATGATATAAAGAAGATTATGTTATTGATGCACCGCTGTAACTAAAGAATACAAGGACATGTAACGTGCATATACGGGTTGGAGCAAAATCAGTGATGTTAAATTATAGGGCGCCAATCTTTTTGGCGTTTTGAGCAATTCTTCCACTACAAAAAGTTGTGGGATATCATGTAAACTCAAAAGAAGAATGAAAGAACATAAAGATTGTTTAATAAAGGGCGACTTTCACAGATCTAAGATTTGTCAGCATTCATGGGACACAGGGCACAGAATAAATTTTAATAACGCCAAAATTATAATGAAAGAAGCGATAGCCTCTAAAAGAAAAATAAAAGACGTTTTTTAATACAATCTAATAAAAAGAAATATATCACTCGTGTATCTGTAGATGTTAGTAATGCATGGCAATCGCTTCTTTGATTTTAAAGAACATAACATAAATAAATAACATACGTAAAAATTAAAAACAAATTGATAACAATCATACAGAAAGTTTGAAGCTTTTTGGTTTTACCTTATTAAGTAATTGTTATCAGGTAGTAATTGTTAATTTTGAAGTTTAACTTGATATGTCATTTTAACAGAACGACAACGGTTTTTGTAGACGTATTTCTTTAAAAAAAAAATGATTAGTTAATAAAGTGTTCTAATCAGTTGCATTTAAATATTTTAAATAGTTTTTTCTTTATTCTAGTATTTTTTTGCTTCCGGCGACGGAAAGAGATAAACTTTTCGAAACGTTAAGCATTTTTTTGTTCGTTAGACAAATTTGTTTATCAGTAAACCTAACTGCTGACAATTAGTCTCCGTTGGATTAACGCATCAGCGTTTACAAAAAATAATTATTTTATTTTGTAGATTTTCTTGCAGTGGCGAACTACCCATATAGGATTTTTTTGGAGAGATGAATCCGCCACATAAGTATAGACATTTTTATGTAAAATCAAGTCACTTATTTTATTTAGTGTCTATGAAAGCACCTATACAACAAATAAATAAAATCTCATCAATTTACCTATCAACATTTTTATATTGACTGTATCAATATTAGACAATACAATTGCCAGAACTCTAAAAAACAAGAAATGTAACGACATCGAGTTGGCCGGTCATCAACTTGAGGGAGGTATATGGTCAGGTCCCTATAATAGGAATAGACCTTAAATCCAAGGAGGCAATAGAAAAAGAGAGATATATCATCTATTATAGATCCGGGACAACACCGGTATCAGGTCTAAGGAGAGACCAAGTTAAAGAGAGTGGGGAGACAGACCCTCCAGCCTCCACCTCACAGGTACCTCAGCCAGAGACAGTTGGTTTTGTACTGCTGTTAATTTTTAAGAGCGAAATGAACTGATCACGATCAATTTGCAATTTTTTCAATTATCATTAGGGAATGCAATCCCGCACCAAAATCTCAATCCCGCAAACCCGCGGGATTAAAGCAATCAGTCCCGCGGATCCGCAAAATTGCGGGACTGGAAACAATAGTCATACATTTATACATTTGGTCCTAAATGGTACAAAAGGCATTGTACATTTTGCATAGGCCCACAATATATTGATATAGCGTGTATCTTAAACTAGTTGTACAGAAATTTGGACCGATGTGTACAGAGTGTTCAAAAAATATATTTAATATTAAATAAACTTAAATTTTATTATAATTTATCTTATTTTATAAATAAAAATATTATTCCGATGTTGAAGTTTTTTTAACTTGTGTTAGTTATCTGCTACATACACGAGATACACTCTATTACAATAATTTTTTGGCATATGCAGAATGTACAAAGCTTTTTGTACCATTTAGGACAATACGTAGGTATTACTAAAAATGCATATTTTTCGAAAAAATATCGTATTTTTTTTAAAACAAAAAAAAATTAAAAAACCGATCAAATTGTTTTTTGTAATTTCAATACAGATTAGTCGTACTTAAAAAAAAATTGGAAATTTGCGGTAAAAAAGATTCTTGACCAAATTTTCACACTCTCATTAAACACCTTGTATACGAGAATTCACTAAATATATTTTCGAAAACCACATAGCATCTTAATCACAATAGATGCATCTAAAACCTGGTCCAAACCGCATCCCAAAATCTTTTTTAGTTCAAGAGATATTTAACTTTAAATTTGCCCTAAAATTTTGCTTGTCCCGATAATTATGTCCGGCAGTTTATTTGACGAAATTGTCCACAAGTACTAGTTAACCGCTTTTCTTCACTTACGCACATACGCCAGAAAGAGAAAGAAATCTAACAACTAACTTGTTTGTTTCACTTATTTTTAATGGCCAAGCCGTAAGGGGAATACCCCGGGTTCCGAACGTCGGCGCATCGGTCCGGAACGAAGCGGTTTGATCTTGATTGAGATCGATTCGGTTACCTAGTAGTAATGTGTCGATCCCGCAAATCCCGCACGGTAAATCCCGCAACTTTGATCCCACGGAATCTCAGAGGGATACCGCATTTGCGGGATTGCATTCCCTAATTATCATTACTTTTTGATGTAATTATTTAATATGATTATATGGTTTTGGTGACTATTGTAACGTAATATTACGCCGCATTGGATACTGTATACTAAATTAAAAATAAACGTTAAATCCTAAAGATACAGTCCTGGTTTTAATAAACATCAATAACGATAACAAAACTAACGATATTAAAGAATTCATCTGTAATAATGAAGTATACAAACAGAAAAAAAAATGTAAAAATAACCTACATTGTATTGCCTCCCTTGGCTGTTATAACTGCCTGTATACGTCCATCCATACTGTCATTGAGGCTGCATATATCATATTGCGATATGTTTTATCATTGTTCTTTGAGGACCAAGCGGAGTTCATTTAATGAAGATGGTACCGCTTCGCGACTTCTAATCCTCCTGCCAAGTGTTTATAAAACGTCGAATACGATGAACAGTTCATAGTGGTTTATAGTTCACAATAATCTCCAAAGCCGCCTTGTCATTATTGAAAAAACAACTTCAAAAAGAAATGATAATTACATTTCAAATTGTTGATGGCAAGTTCATTTCGCCGTTAAAAATTAACCAAGTATGATGGTTATGTCCCCACAATAGGAATTGATCTCAAATCAAAAGGAGGCAATAGAAAAAGAGAGATATATCATTTATTATAGATCCGGGACAACACCGGTATCAGGTCTAAGGAGAGACCAAGTTAAAGAGGTGGGGGAAACTGACGAGGGAAACCTGGACTATTTACTTGAAAAAGTGAAAATAATACATTTTTATGGAGCCGCTCGGCCAAGTATTTGATTGCCTTGTCTTAGGCTATACGCTGACAGGCAATTTTTAATCGGCCGACTATTTAGTTGCATATTTGTAACCAATATATTTCTATGGAGCCGCGCTCACATGCAAATAGTCGGCCGATCGGCTCCATAAGTATGTATTGTTTAGACTTTTACAACTAAATAGTCGGCCGACTAAAAATTACAGGTCAACGCGTAGGCTTATTGTTTCGAATTTCCCTTCACAGTATCCAAACTATTTAAAACTGCAAGTCAGAGAATTCAAAGTATCTTGTTTTTCAAATTAATATATTTTTTAACAAATTTGAGTTTATATTGCTTCGAAATGAATCAAGAATCTAACCTTTCACATTCAAAGTCCACAAATATCGTGTTGCCATCCACAACCTGTTTGTTGGTCAGCCTGTAAGCATCTTCAGCTGCTCTTTCTTCCTCGTACTCTACAAAGGCATATCCTTTTGGCATTCCCGTTACTATATCCTTGACCATTCGAAATCTCTTTATTTTACCATGCTTTGAAAAGATTTCCTTTATAGTATCTTTGGTGGTATCGTGATTTAATCTGCTTACAAAGACTGTACATTCTGGACGACCTGTATAAAGTTATATTATATTATACAGGGTGGAGTAGCAATGAGGTGAACAACTGCGGTTGAGCATTTATAAACAATTTTATAAAAAAGTGAAATATCTGACGCACGCTGGGAGTAAAAATTCAAGGCCGTGACACACGAGCTAGTGGTAATGGCTTAGAAATACGTAGTGTCAATATTACGTATACGTACGTAATATTGACACTACATATACGTACAAAAATGTTGATATTTTAATTAGTGGTGGGTTATTATTTAACTATCTGTTATTTTATAACAATTATTTAGAAATAACATAACGCAACCGTTACTACTTCTAAAAAATAACAGATATAAAATAACGACACGTACAGATCGACCGCTCGTGAAACGAAGTCAGCGCTCTGCATCGTCACGAAATTCTATGTGGCTCGATGCAATTGCAAAAAACAACTAGTATGGATGGACAACATGTTATTTCGACAACCATCGATACAGGCGGCGAGACACGGACAACGGAGTGGGGAATGCGCTACGGCGAACGTAGCTGCATCGGTCGACGGTCGTGTTGGGCTTGCAACAGCTTAAAAATAATATGATAGGTATATAAAAGAAGCAGCTTTTTTGAAACAGTTGCGGGCATAACGCCTGGCGGTCGAGATAACAGGAGTGGGAAAGTAACGCTGCTGCATTGGTCGATTGTCGATGGACGCGCGCAACGGGTTGGAGAATAACGTATAGAAAATAAGCAGGCATTTTAGATACGTTGGTTTTTAACCTGTTACGAGCATAACAGGTGGCGGTCGAGATAATCGGAGTGGGAAAGTAACGCTGCTGCATCGGTCGATTGTCGATGGAGGTTCGAAACAGGTTGGAGAATAACGCATCAGTTGTTTTAGATAGGTACATTGTTTTTCAACCTGTTAGGAGCATAACGGGCGGAGATCGAGATATTATGGCGCTGTATGTTTCAGTACTGAGTTATTAAGTTTCAGTTAGTTAGTTATTTTTATTAATATCTTTAAATATATACTTTAATTATTTTTGCTACATTTTAAAACTCTTCAAAGACAATTTTACTAAGATTTACTTTAAGAAATTGTGAATGGTGCTTAGAAGTTTAGTGATTAATTTATTTATTATAATAATAACAAGTACCTAATAAAAAATGGAAATAACAATTTAATTAATTATTTAGTAGTATGTATATTTTTCTAAAGAAATGCTTTAGAAAAAAAGTTTTGAGTTTTTCTAAATTTTCACAGTCTTAAATTATTACAATACAGTAGTTGCAAAGTAATAGTTTTGTATTTTTCACCACTGTCTAAGACTATTACTGTTATAGATGTTGATAAGAATAAAAACACTATGGTAAGAAAAGACTGTTTAAAAGGTAGCAAACACATTGAGTATAATATTAATTTTAAATAATGTATATTCGTTGGTTTTGCTGCGATTTAAAGCTCTTCAAAAAACAAATTTACTATTCAGACATAATGATACAACAAACGATAGATACTAAAAATACACTAAATAAAGATATTACTTTTCAACTACTAAAACAAGTAAAGGCTAAATTATATAGACTTCAAATTATTCGGAATCGCACTAAGAAAAATTAATCTCTTGAAATACTATAATTAGATATTACCCGTGTTTATACAGTATCTCCCTGGATTGTCTTTATAAGAGGAAATAAAGAAACCTGTTATTTTTAAGCTGTTATTTTAAGCTGCTTTCTATAAATAACTATAACAGTTTTAACTGTTATCTAAAAATAACAGTTTTGCCCACCACTAATTTTAATACAAATTTTGTGAAAGCGAATCAAGTTATTTATTTATTTTTTACTTTACGCGTATAAAACTATTTGTTACGCGTAAAAGCTATTTTTTACGTGTAAAAAACTATTTGTTACACGTAAAAAACTATTTTTTACGCGTAAAAATATTTTTTAATTTACTACTTTTTCAAAATTTCAAACTACACTTTTTCAAACATGTTCTTCAAATCCTTCAATTTAATAACTGTCAAGAAGCATAGATAAAGGAAATAAATTTAGATTGGAATGCCCGTCAAAATTTTGGGTCGCGAATTTGTTTAGGGTCGTGACCGTTGTACGCGATCTGGCGCTGCTATAGCGGTTGCTAAGAACAACCGCAAACAAAAACAAAAATAATTTTCTCTTGTCCATATCTCTTGTCAAAGTCAGAATCTTCAAAAATTATAAAATCTTTCAAAATCTAAACCGCTCTCTGAAAAAATTCCAAAAAGTGTTTAAAGCGTCCATTTTCAAAGTAATTATTGCTATCTTGTGAGTTTAATTTAAGTTATATTTACTCAAACCCGTGATAATTGTGAAAAAGTGGCATTAAAAACTTAAAAAGCTGTGCTGTGAACTGTGATTTGCAGTTCACAGTTCACAGCACAGCTTTTTAACTGCAACCATCGTGGATCGTGGTATAACGTCGGTTTCCAATGTTTCATAGGTATTTCATACATGCCCTTTTATAAAATAAAGTTTCTTTTATGCAACGCACTGTATTTTATTCATAAAATTAAAAGAAAATAATAATAACTTTGAATAAATAATATTTGGCGATATAATTCCGGAAAAAACCGACAAGCTCCCAAATTATCAAAAGCTTTGAGTCGCGACCGTTGCACGAATAGCGCCAAATAGTAGTTACATTGTTCTTATGGGCACTTTCCAATCTAAACTTGTTTCATTTATCATTGGTAAGAAGTTTCACTTCAAATCTGCGCACGTGGTGCACACACATTTTTTTATCAAGCAAAAACATTATCATTACTAAACAGATTAGAATACCATATACCGGGTGCGTCTCAAAACTGGCTCACCCCTATAACTTTTTTTTATTTTTTCGGTTAAACAAACGAGATTTGGTATGTTAGTATATGACATAAATTAGGATTGAATGACGTATTCAGTTGTTTTCGGTCACTTCCTGTTTCACCGGAAATGACTACAACCTTTGGTTTTTAAATGGCACCCTCGGTATTTTTTTACTTTATTCAATAGAAAATAACACTCTGAATAGAATGACATATCATATGGCAACTTTTCACATTTTTGCATATGGTTTATTTGAAATTATAACTTGCGGTTCGTAACGAAAATTTGACTCAAAATACTAAGTGTGTGGTATCAAATTATTCGTAAAAAAATGCTTTTTCCGAATATGCTAATGAGTCACCCTCGTTTCATTTGAAAAAATTGAGATATGATTAAAAATACGATTTGAGCATTTTCTAACTGGCCAGGATATACTAAGAACATTATTAAAGGATCAAATCTATTTTTGCAAGGCTCCTTGATTAAGAATTGGTGTTTCTAACATAGCCATGGCACTCTAGATTGAATTTTAAAATACGATTTTTTATTAAGCGGGAATATCAAAAGTTGACATATGATATGTCACTCTATTCAGAATGTCATTTTCTATCGAATAAAGTAGAAAAAATACCGAGGATGCTATTTAAAAATCAAAAGTTGTAGTCATCTCCGGTGAAACAGGAAGTGACCAGAAACAATTGAATATGTCAATCAATCCTAATTTATGTCATATACTAACATACGAAACCTCGTTAAAAACCTACCTGAAAAAATAAAAAAAGTTATAGGGGTAACCCACTTTTGAGACGCACCCGGTATATACTTGGTATGCAATGGTATTTATACTAAACAATTTCAGGATATAGATATTTATTTATTAAATGAAATTTTCTATCTTTATTAGTAATAATCTAGAAAAAAATACCAAACCTTTTACAAATCTATTTGGCCTGTATGTCGCTTTCTGAGCTCTTTCAACTGCCCTATCATGGGCAACAACATCAGTTCCATCTATAGAGCCGCATTTTATGGGATCATACACTTTTGCAAATTTAGACCAATTTCGAATGACATCATTCAATTCATTTTTCATTTTCTAAAATATTAAAATATGTATATCTGAATAATATTCATATATGTTTTATAACACACACATCGACACCTACCTCCTCAGTCATGTCGTTTAAGAGATGACTTTTAATACATTTCTTCTATCAGAAATAGTATATTTTGGTATGATTGACTTAAATGATGTCAAATCTAGACCTTTGATCTAGACTTTAGCGAGTCCAAGTGATGTCATCAAAAATAGCTATTCTAAAATTTTTAAATAAGATTGTCTACAGGGTGGTCCGAACTGTATTCCGGAAACTTCGACAGCATATTCTGCAGATAAAAATAAGTAAAAAAGTTCGTATAAACGTATGTCCTAAAATGCTTAGTTTCGGAGATACAGGGGTAGACATTTCATATTTATTTCGGTTTTTTCCAAATAATTTATGAAGTAACGTCAATATTTGGATGAAAATTGGTGTCTGGGAGTTTTTTGACATGAGAAATTTAATTTTCATGTCAATATGACTCCTATTTGTAGAGGGCGCCACCTACATATTTTTAACGGGTTTGAAGAGTAATAACTTTTCGTCCATACCTGTATAAAACTACTAAGTAAAAAAATATACATTTACGACTTCTTTTGCATAAAAAATGTCTCTTGGTAAAAATCGCTACGAGTAATGGTTCTCGAGATATTTGGAATCGAAATTATCAATACCCGTCATCATTGACATAATTAAACATGTTGACTAAATAGTTATTAAACTGAAATCATAAATTTGAAATCTGTTTGTGCCAAAAGTTCAACAGAAATTGTTTAATCACATGATACAAAGAATACAAGGTATGATATTGCGCAGGTTGGTCACTACGTCACAGGTGATAAACGGCACCATTGGTCGGCAAGCTCTGCGCGCCAATTTCAAATTGTCAAACAGATTGTGTCATCTGTGAAATTTGATTGTGTCAAAATGTGAAAATAATTTTTCAAATGTCAAGCGCGATGATTTGACATAACTTTTGGGGTTATGTCCTAATTCTTCCCTATTTTAGGTCTTTTTTTATTAGTGGCAATTGAACAATTTGGATATTTTTTTGTATGGCGTATGGCGTCACAGGTGGTATGCGCAAACTTAACGAAATTGGAGCCGCTATCGATCATACCTTGTTTTCTTTGTACCATGGTTTAATCATCATTTTTACGCTGAAAAATTTATCATTAATTAAAAAATTATTATTTCAGCCAAATAGCTATACTCAACGTGTGCTTATTTTTTGTCAATAATGACATGTATTGACTATTTCCATTCTAATTATCTTAAGAACGGTTGCTCCTAGCGATTTTTACCAAGAGACATTTTTTACGTAAAAAGTAATGAAAATGTATATTTTTTCAGTCAGTAGTTTTATACCGGTACGGACAAAAAGTTATTACTCTTCAAAACAGTTAAAACACATGTAGGTGGCGCTTCGTATAAAGAGTCATTTTGACATTAAAATCAAATTTCTCGTGTCACAAAACTCCTAGATACCAATTTTCATCCAAATATTGACGTTACTTCAGAAATTATTTGGAAAAAACGAGGGAAAAATCGGAATAAAAATGAAACTTCTACACTCTGTATCTCTGAAACTAAGCATTTTAGGACATACATTTATACGAACTTTTTTACTTATTTTGATCTACAGAATATGTTAGCGAAGTTTTCCGGAATACAGTTCGGACCACCCTGTATAAGTAACACAAGAAATTAAACTACAATATGCAAAGCCAATCCACAATCATCTATAATTTTGGCCAAAATATCTATTTAGAGTGAACTAGGAATGTTTTGTATTAAAAATAATGTACAGGGGCAGTGAAAATGTAACACACACAATGTAATACCACAGAACAGATACAAATCAGAAATTTCACTGATGGGATTTCCGTTGTCAAGATTTAATTTTTTATTTTATATGCGCGCAGAGCTTTGGTAATACCGCGTAATACAGCAACATTCATCAAAGCCAACTAAGATTTTAACCATTGTCGATGTAAAAGTTTTTGTGATAAAAATTTTGAAAAAAAAATGCTTAGTATCGTGGGGTGAGAAAATTTTCAGACTGCCCCCGTACATATTTTTAAATCTTCAGAATTTTGTTATCGATTGTGATTAACAATATTTGGTCTTATTTGCATAGTTTGGATGTTACACCTGGTCTGAGATGAAAATTATTTTTGGAAATGTCCAGCGAGTCTGGGAAGATTTTGACAAACGACATTCAAAAAATGATAGAAAATATAATTTGTCTGTGAATTAAAATGACAGACACAACTGTCACTGTCATGGATCCTCTAGTTGGACAGATTAGTGAAATATAGATTGAACGATATATAACATGGTTTTAATATAATCTACAATTTTTACTCTTCGGATTTCATTATGGGACAATAATAAATTGATAATAATTTTGTTTAAATAATAAACTACTGCCATAGCTATAGTTCTAGTTATATTTAGAAATAGTATAGTTTTAACACTACTTAATGTAATGTACCTATTCTTGCCTATTCTCTGTTTTAACAGATTCAATTAAATTTTTAACATAAGAAAAGTAGCTATCGAAATCCAAATGAAATTTGGCTGATTGTTAAATAGAGTCAAGGTTTAACGTGAAGAAATAAACTCTGTTAGGTGTTAGGTAATTAGAATTATTCATATTTCTGACCAAGCAAAAAAGAAAATAAATGACTAGAAAATTGGGTATACCGAAAATTGAATTGACTCACCTAGAAATGAGGCTATATGCTCAGTAGCTCACCAAAATAATTATATTCCAATTTAACTGGATTTTCAGCACAGTTTTCAGTTTTCAACAGTTAAAAAGGACCAAAGCCAACTCTAGAAAAATTGTAAATGAACAGCTGATTGTATATCAAAATAAAAAAGTAAGGTTAGGTATGTTGTTTACATTTTAATGTCATTTTATTGGTTTATGAAAAAAAGGCCTGAGACTCTGAGACTGCAACAATTGTTTTCTGTTTAAAGTTCGTAATTATGCATTTAGACTAATTTCAATTTTTTAAAGAGGTATGTACTTTAATTTTTCATAATCTTCAAAAAATGATCTCCAAGACTGTGAAGTAAGGTTAATTTAAAAATCGAAAAAAATTGTAAATATGATATCGCTAATTAATGAACTGAAGTGGATTTTAAAAGTAGATTATTATATCTTCCTATATATTTTAAATTAAAAATTAAGGACATGATATGTATCAGATAATAGCAGATATTTTTGTACCGATATTTTATATAGGTAAATAGGTAGGACCAGGTAGGGCTTGATTTTATTATTTATTATTATTTTCATTTTAGTAAATGAATATTCAGTTTTCTAATATGTTAATAGTGCTAATACTATCGTGCGTAGTGTACACCAGTGCTGTGAATCCTTTGGTTATTAATACCTGGGCCTTCACAGAATCTACTAAAAATGGTAAGTGACTGTATACTGTATAGTTATCTTTTTTTTTTTATAGTATTATCTATTTTATATGTATTTAAATTTTAGCGTTTACAACATTAAAAAGTACATCGGATCCCGTTAGTGCACTAGAAGAAGGATGTAGAACATGTCAAACTCTTCAGTGTGATTTTACTGTAGGATATGGAGGTAGTCCAGATGAAAATGGGGAATCGACTTTAGATGCTATAATATTTGATGGGTAACTCCTGTACATATGTATAAATACCGTTTTTATATTTTAAAATACAGTTTTTATAATCATTTTATTGATGCAAAGTGATTAAAATTGTTTTATGAACAAGTGGGTTTTGAATGATGATAAATAAACAATTCTTATAAGTCAGTAATTCTTACTAATCATTGAATAAAAATCCTAAGGATGGTTTCTAATATATGCCATAATAGACAGTTAAAACACGGCCGAAGACGTAGACGTAAACGTATCGCAGTTTGCGCAGTGAGAAACAAAACACAAATACAGGAGTGAGAAATTCACTTGCGTTTACGGTACATGATTCGTATCTTTACGTGTCTTTACGTACGTACAAAACGCAAACGTATCGAGCCGAGAGGGTTCGATTTCACCCGATTAATGCCACTTCACCCGATTAATACAAATTCAAATCGACAAACATCTGTCTTAATACCTGGCTCTCTAATCTTAGCTAGTTATTAGTAGTTATTTGAGATATTTTAGAAATGTTTGACCTTGTGGAACAGGAAAGGCGCCTATTTTAATATAATAAATTAATAATTTGTACACATTTTAAGTTTTTAAGGGTGGGTACTTCCAATAATATAATTCCCAGTAATGTTTTTTTTATCCTTCAATAAATACTTTTATAAATTTGATGTAAAATCAATAGATTAAAATATTAAAAAGTACCGATTACGTTACGTAACGTCAAAATACTTACTTTAAAGCATAATTGCTTCATAATAAAATTTTAAATATTTTTTTCTCAAAAACGGTTAATGTTAGGCATAGAGTGTTTAACATCAATATTTATAGAATTTTACAGATAATTTAAGTATGTAATAAAAAATAAGGGCACCCATTTAAAATAAGAAAGTTGCTGTGAACTTTCGGTATTTCCGGAAGTGCCGCCATATTGAAAATATTTTTAATCGATAGATCTCGTTGTAAAACAATGATGTGCAAAAAATCTCCGATCTAGATATGGTGGTTCTCTAGAAGCTTCTAATGCACGCTCAGTCTGGGACACCCTGTATACCCTAGATGATATCAATGATACCAAAAAACGAAAAAGAACCATAGAATTTGGATGAAAGAACTAAAATATTGCACAACGAAGCTCAACATACACATACACTACACAACGCGTTGCGCAGAGTTCTGTTGCACAAAAGAATTCAAACATTCTTGAAACTTATCAAACAATTGCGCAACGCGTCAAACGTTACCATACATTGGCAGCTCGTTGCGCAACCGCCTGTGTTGCGCAACGTTGCGTTGCACAACTGATTCAGCGGTCCATACACTATCAAACAAGTTGCGCAACAAAGCTTCAAAATTGCTTCACCCATGCACTTAGTAAAATTTTGATCAAACTTTTTATTAAAAGTTGTGCATTGTTTGAGAAACAATCATGTCCTCAATTGCCATTGCGTCAATTATTATCATATATACCCTAGATGATGTCGATGATACCAAAAAACGAAAAAGAAAACAAAGAATTTAAATGAAAGAACTAAAATATTGCACAACGAAGCGCAACACACACATACACTACACAACGCGTTGCGCAAACAGTCCTGTTGCACAAAAGAATTCAAACATTCTTGAAACTCATCAAACAATTGCGCAACGCATCAAACACTACCATACATTGGCAACTCGTTGCGCAACGGCCTGCGTTGCGCAATTTGTTTGATAATGTATGGGCCCCTTAAGTTTCTACCGTTACATACCCTGAGATACGTATACGTATTGTGCCATGCTTTAGCTGTCTAATATTTGATGGACATCTTTATGTTTAAAAATACACAATAATTGTGTATTTTTAAACATAAACTAGAGCATAGAACTTTAAACATAAACTATTCATAGAAATACAATGAATATGGGTGCTGTTGGTGGTATGCGAAAAGTCAAAGACGCTATTGGTGTGGCTAGAAAAGTTCTGGAAAATACTGAGCATTCGTTTTTGGTCGGAGAATTAGCTGGCCAGTTTGCTAATAAAATGGGATTTCCTCTCGAGTCTTTGGAAACAAATTATTCACAAGGATTGTATGAAACCTGGAAAGAAAATAATTGTCAGCCTAACTTTTGGACAGTAAGTATGATATTTATAATAACCTAAAGTGTTATAGAGAATTGTTTTTTTGTCTAATGATTGGTTTATGCTGCCGATCTTAACCCTAGCACTAACATTAGTCCTAATCACAAGAATATGCTTCCAACCATATCGATGGTAACATACTATTTAATTTGAGCATGCTTGAAACTAGGGTGTTTAAGATTTTTTTAGAACTTATTTATTGACTCTGTAATCGTAGATAAAGGGAATAAATTTAGATTGGAATGCCCGTCAAAATTTTAGGTTGCGAAATTGTTTTGGGTCGCGACCATTGTACGCGATCTGGCGCTGCTATAGCGGTTGCTAAGAACAACCGCAAACAAACACATAAATAATTCTCTTGTCCTTATCTCTTGTCAAAGTCAGAATCTTCAAAAATTATAAAATCTTTCAAAATCTAAACCGCTTTCATTGAAAAAATTCCGAAAAGTGTTTAAAGCGTCCATTTTCAAAGTAATTATTGCTATCTTGTGAGTTTAATTTAAGTTTTATTTACTCAAATCCGTGATAATTGTGAAAAAGTGGCATTAAAAACTTAAAAAGCTGAACTGTGCTCTGAACTGTGAACTGTGTTTCCAATGTTTCATAGGTATTTCATACTTACCCTTATATAAAATAAAGTTTCTTGTATGCAACACACTGTATTTTATTTATAAAATTAAAAGAAAATAATAATAAATTTGAATAAATAATATTTGCCGATATAATTCCGGAAAAAGCCGAATCGCTCCGAAATTTTCAAAAGCTTTAGGTCGCGACCGTTGCAAGAATAGCGCCAAATAGTGTTTACATTGTCCTTATGGGCACTTTCCAATCTAAACTTGTTTCATTTATCTATGTCTGTAATCAATATTTATAGAATATAGTACGAATTGGGTATGATCATGCTAATATGGTCTTAAAAATACTTTAGAAGTTAAATTTTGCAGTTTTTGTAGAACGTCCTTCCTGATCCTACCAAAAATTGTGGACCATATACTCCCACCGAAGAGAAACAGTGTATTAAATCAGATCCTATATTAACAAATGAAATATCTAAAGATTGTGATAGTAAATTTAACACTGGCAATCACGACACAATTGGCATGCTTGTGATTGGGCAGGATGGTCATATAGTTGCTGGGACTTCAACTAATGGAGCCAATCACAAAATTCCTGGGTAATTTAATTATGACGGTTAAATATTTTAAATAAAATGTGTTCTAAATAATGGACTTATATACTGTATTATCGAAAAAAAAACGGCGTCAAAGATGACTGGGGGAAGAATCGATGATAAGTCAATCTCTAGACGTAGTAAAAATTGACATAAAACTTGTCAAAATTGAATTTTAAACTACGCCATTTAAAAATCATTTTTACTCAATACAGCAATAAATTACAACTTTCTTAAGGCCAATTGGTAGTAAGCCCCATTAAAAAATAAAGACAAGTACGGACCAAGTAAATGACGTCTAGGGCTTGTCCTCGTCAAAATTATCATCGATTGTCATTCCCCAGCCGTCTTTGACGCCGTTTTTTTTTTGATCGTATGGTAGTATGCTATAATAAAAAAGTTTTCCCTACCAGGAGGGTAGGCGATTCCCCTATTCCAGGTGCTGGAGCCTACGCCGATAGTGAAGTAGGCGCTGCTGCAGGGACAGGCGACGGTGACGTAATGATGAGATTTCTACCAAGGTAATTAAGAAAATTAAATACCCTTATTTGATGCAATTTTTCTGTATTTTATAAACATGCATTGTATGAGAATACCTATTATACCGTGCTGGCAACTGTTACTTTTTGGTCGGTATTTACATGTGTGGAAGTAAATCGCATAGGGATCTTATTAGGTCGGAGTGAGAGAAATGCGACGGTGTGCTGTTGCGGCGTTGCCGGTACGCCTTTCCCTATGAAGTAAAGTAAAATCAGGATCGCAAAATCGCTTATTTTTAAACGACTTTTTCGAAAAGATAACTAGATAAAATCATTAGATATGCTTTTGAGTATCTGAAATGGAATTATAAAGATATCGTTAAGGTGTCGTTGTTAAAATTTAAACCGCCCCCATTGAAAATATACCGAAAAGTGTTTAAAGCGTCCATTTTCAAAGTAATTATTGCTATCTTGTGAGTTTAATTTAAATTTTATTTACTCAAACCCGTGATAATTGTGAAAAAAAGGCATTAAAAACTTAAAAAGCTGTGTGAACTGTGAACTGCAAAAACCATCGTGGATCGTGGCATAACGTCGGTTTCCAATGTTTCATCGGTATTTCATACATGTCCTTATATAAAATAAAGTTTCTTATAGACATTGTATTTTGTTTAAAAAATTAAAAGAAAGTAATAATAAATTTGAATAAAAAATATTTTGCGCAATAATTCCGGAAAAAGCCGAACCGCTCCGAAATTATCAAAAGCTTTCGAGAGCGACCGTTGCGTTGGTTGTAAGAATAATATAATAACGTCCTTATGGGCACTTTCCAATCTAAACTTGTTTCTTTTATCTCTATGTTATAGTATTTCCGTCAATTACTACAATCATCATTACAACTTTTTGCAAGTCATATTATAGAAAAAAATGCATTTTTTGAACTAAAAAAATATATTTTTAAAAACAACGCCGTGTAATATTGAATTTACTTTTTTCCTTTTACCAGTTTTCTAGCAGTTGAACAAATGCGATCAGGTGTTACTCCAGAAGCAGCTGCTCAGGAAGCAATCAGTAGAATTGCCAAAAAATATCCGTCGTTTTTTGGAGGAGTAATAGCCGTGAATAAAGATGGCGTAATAGGTGCTGCGTGTAATGGAATGGAGAAGTTTCCTTTTTCTGTGATGAATGACACGATTGACGCTCCTATTGTTAACTATGTCAATTGTACAAATCCATAAAATTATGAGGAACACTAAAGAAAATTGTAAAATTGCCATAATAGAAAAAAAATCGAAGTTCTCGGTTTTTAATTAATATATATTTTTCATTACATCGTGGTGATTTTTTTTTCAATGTTTAGCCAAAAAAAATGTATCCTTTGAAAGCTTATTTTGCAATTGCCTTTTAAAAGAAACAGAGTCTGTCCAATGAGAGGATATTATGACCGTGACAGTTGTGTCTGTCATTTTAAATTACAGGTAAATTGCATTTTCTGTCATTTTTTGGATGCCGTCTGTCCAAACAACGAGTTAGATTTTAGTTCTTCCGCATCGCTAGACGGCGCAAAAGACATTAAAGTACAGGTTTCTAGTTTATACAGGAGTCTTAAATAACTGCAAATATTTTCAGTACTGGTTGATTTCGATAAAAGAAACATATTTTCTCTTTATTGTTTTTCAAATAAGTCCAAAATAACCGAGTTGTTTTACTTTGAAAATTTCCAAAAAATCAAATTTTTCAAAATATTATATTAAATTAAAAATTTTTATATTTTTTTTCCCAAAAATACTTCATAGACGTGTTTTTGGGATCCAAATATACTACACCTCAAATATTTGCACTTATTTAATACTCACCCTGTATACGAAGATGACATGACAGCCGTCTAGGTCATGTCTAGCTGTCAAAATGTTGGTGATCCGTCAGGTTTAATAATTTTAAATCATTATTTAAAAAATTAATAATTCAGATTTTCCTGATTTGTGTGGAAGTTTTGTGGTTTGTGTTTTTTAGTTTGTGCATTTTGATATTTACATGCGATCATCATTTTTGTGTTAGATACTAAACTTTTTTATTTTAAAGTGTTGTTTAATATTTATTTAATATAAGTATATATTCGTGTGGTTTAATATAAATAAAAGTACAACTGAATAATTTACTTGCCTATGAAAAGATAATTCGGGGTCCTTTATATTAGAACTTCCACACAACCAAACACTTTCTAGTCATTTTTACGAGTATTTATAAAGTCCAATGAAAAAAAAATAGAACTATAGTTGCACAAACGTATAATTAACTTTCCACTGAACACACTTGCATCCTTCTAAGTTCTTCTATATAAAAGCCATAGGTAAAAGAGTATTTAATAACATCTTCAAAATAAAAAACGCAAAAATAACGGTTCTACACCATGGAAATATGATTATGACAAGATTATGACAACATGATGACAATGATAGTTCGTTGCCATAACGATATAAATTTGTACTTTTTAAATTGTATAAAATTGTGATTATTTTGGAAATACGTGCAATTTTTAATCCGCATGCGCAAAGTAAGGTTCTCGGGGAAAAGACGAATCTATTGAACGTTTCATAAGTGCAATAAAGAAGGTTTGAAAATGGCATGTCATGATTTTGGAGACATAAAGTGCTAATCGTATCGCGTTTATGCATCCACGTATCTATGTATGATCTAGGATTAAATGCAACATACATTAAAGCTTAGATTAAGAATATTACATGCGTTTTAAACCAAGATCATATATACTTACGTGGAGAAGTCAACGCCATAAGTTTAGCCACAAAGTTTAGCATTAAAAAATATGTCTCCAACATCACGACCAAAGATCACGACATGCCATTTTCATACCTTCTTTATTGCACTTATGAAACGTTCAATAGGTTTATTTTTCCTAAGGTTTTTACCGAGGACCTTATTTTTGCGCATGCGTATTTAAAAGTTGCACGTATTTCCAAAATAATCACAATTTTATACGGTTTGGAAAGTACAAATCAGAGGTACAAATTATACACTGTTATGGAAACCAACTTTTCATTGTCATCATATTGTCATAATCTTGTCATAATCTTGTCATAATCTTGTCATAATCTTGTCATAATCATATGTCATAATCTTATTTCCATTGTGTAACGACGCTTGTTTTTTGCGTTTTTTATTTTAAAAATTGTATTAATTACTCGTTTATCGACCGCTTTTATATAGCCAAGGATGCAAGTGAGTTCAGTGAGAAATTAATTTTAAGTTTATACAATTATATTTCTATTTTTTTTTGTTGGACTTTCTAAATACCCGTAAAAATGATTAGAAAGTGTTTGGTGTGTGGAAGTTCTAATATAAAGGTCCCTGAATTATCTTTTCATAGGCAAGTAAAGTATTCAGTTGTTCTTTTATGTATATTAAACCACATGGATACTTTTTGGATAGATTTCCTAAGGATATTGATATTCGTACGGAGTGGCTAAATGTATTTTTTATATAATTTAATTTTTGTGACAATAAACATTCAATTTATTGTTCAAATATATGCATTTTACCACAAAGCATCCCCCTTTAGAACTTCGTCTGTTATGTTAAGAAATGAAAGTAAATAATAAAGCGCCCCTCTAGTGTTTGTTCGCACGCTAAAAATTTAATTTATTGCCTGTATATATTTTTTAAATTTATATTTTTTTAATTGTAAAGTAATATATTACATTTAAATGGAATATATTACATAACAATTATGTCAGTTACAGGATTACAAGTGTCAGTTATTGATTAAAATTTCAATATATGTATATTTGTCGTAGGCAGAGAATAGGGTCGTAGGTATGAAAAAAGTAAAATATAAAATGGACAAACGCTTACTTACATTGCAATAAAACTTCCACTTTTCGTTTTGCAATCCAAACGCAATTATTTCTATTTCACAAATAAAAATATCCGACAACACTAAAATCACTGAAACTCACGCGGCTGACAACGAAAACTGAAAAATATAACGGCACTTTTTGTTTTGGACCTGCATATCAACATAACGCTGTACCATTATGTTTTTGTTTTTGAAATAATATAAAATATCTAATTACAACTTGTAAATTTTAATATTTTAACATGATTTTAACTATTTCTGACATTAACTAACTTTTTGTTATCAAGATGACATTTTAGACGGCAACTGACATATATGTCATAATATTTAAATTTTAAATATGTAAATATAATTTAAATTAATATAATGCAACTTTATACAAAGAAAACATTTATACATTCACAAAATACAACAAAGTATAATAATATAGTTTGAAAACAATGAATATCGAATTAAAATTAAAATAAAAATTAAAAAAGTTAAGCGCGACCCCTTGTGTTAAAATTAGATGATTAAATTTTCGCAATTTTTACACCATTTGATGACCGGTGGCGCCTCTAGTGTTTGTTCGGGCGGATGGTATTTTACTCCCGCTTATGGCCATTAAAGAAAAAGTTCTAAAGGGGGATGTTTTGTGCACTTTACAAATTAAATTTTTAAAATTAATGTTCAAATAAGGCGCGTGGAAGCTACGCCCTCGACAAGGATAGATAGAGTAGAAGAACCGCGTGTGCAACAAAAAAAGAAGATAAATGAATGATTGATGTTTGCATAGTGATTTACTTATGCACGTAAGTATAATGATCAAGGTTTTAAAGCGCGAATTTAAGAAAATTTAAAAATAAAACTGGCAACGTTCAAGTTGGAAATATGAAGTTTCTATATGACGTTTATATGACGTTATATGACGCTATATGACGTTCAAAAACCATATCTGTTTATTTCCAGTAATTAGTAAAATATACTACTCCATATATCAAGAGATTCGCAAGAATGGCGTCAGATCTCTCATACATTGACGTTCCCGAAAATTGCCAGCCCAATAAATTGTTTAAACAATGGGCTGACGATTATAAGACGAATACGCGTTCAGGAATGGTCTTTTTAACTTAGCCACATCATTCAAGTAGGTAAAAATGATTTTACTTTATATACCTACACCCGATGCTACAATCTTTATATTTATATTTAATATTCATTATACAGGGTTGTTCACCACATACGACACGAATATTAGCTAAACGATTAGATTTTTAGAAATTGTTAGTTTTGGATTCGTTGAAGGACTATTAGAGCTACAATTTAAAAATAAATTTACAAGATACAGAGTGTCCCAAATAAGTAAAAAAATATAGTTTTTTTAAATTGAACACCCTGTATATTATTCTATTTTTAGATCATACGATTGAAATAAAGATAAATTTGATTAAGGTTTATCACACTTAAACCTTACCGTTTTTGAAATATTTTCAATTTTGTGAAATTGCAATAAAAAAATTAAGGCCTCATTTCTTAAAGGGTATCAAAGTTTTTAATACTAAATATTTACTTAAGATTATTTATTGATCAGATATTGTGTTGCAATAATAAAAATAATACTACCTTATACAGAATGTCCAAAAATTTATATTAAATAATTACTAGATTTAAACGGCTGTAACTTGCTTAATTTAAATGGAACACCCTGTATATTTTACGTGAATTAGATGCACAATTTAATTTTCTATCAAATTGTATTAAACTATTTTTTACCTATCTCTACAAGTTTTCTTAGAAAATGCATTTTCTTATAATTTAGACCTCATTTATCACTATACCCATGGAATATTGACATTTTAGATTTTTTTAGAGCAACATGTAAAATTGTACATTTTATACAAAATGTACAAGTGGTAAAAATAATAATATTGCAAGCCCATTTGTTTACAAAAAAAAAGAAAACTATTTAAATCTTTGTAAAAGAGTATACCAATTAAATATACTAATGCGATATGGCTCATATAATAATAGTTTTAATTAATAAATTATTCAAAATAAATGTGGATTTGACTCAGAAATCAATATAATAATAAGTTAGGAAAATTAACGTCTCTGTTATAAATAAGCAATCGTCAAAAAATGAAATAAAATTTATAAGGTGTTACTTTTTACCACACTGTCTAATACATATTCAAAATTCAGTTTTTTTAGTATTTGGAGCAATTATTTTTAATCAACGTAAACAGTCAATGTAGTTTGAATAATACTTGTCATATTAATTGGTCCTCTTTAACAAAAAATATTAAACAGTTTTTTTTTATTATTTTTTAATGATATAAGCGTCCTATATCGACAATATTAATATCTGTACTCTTTGAGAATTTGTTACATCCTTAAGAATAACCTAAAATGTCAATATTCCATGAGTATAGTGATAAATGGGGTCTAAATTACAAGAAAATGCATTTTCTACGAAAATTTGAAGAGATAGGTAAAAAATGGTATAATACAATTTGATAGACAATTAAATTATGCATCTGATTTTCGTAAAATATATAGGATGTTCTATTTAAATTAAACAAGTTATTGCTGTTTAAAGCTAGTAATTATTTAATATAAATTTCTAGACATTCTGTATAAGGTAGTATTTTGTTTATTATTGCAACTCAGTATCTGATCAATAAATAAGCTTCAGTAAATATTTAATATTAAAAACTTTGATACCCTTGGAGAAATGAAGAAAAACAAATTTTTTACTGCAATTTCATAAAATTGAAAATATTTCAAAAGCGGTATGGTTTAAGGGTGATAAACTTTAATCAAATTTACCTTTATTTCAATCGTAGAATCTAAAAGTAGAATAATATACAGGGCGTTCCACTTTACTTATTTGGGACACTCTGTATCTTGTTAAAATATTTTTAAATTGTAGCTCTAATAGTCCTTCAACGAACCCAAAATTTACAATTTGTAAAAATCTAATCGTTTAGCTACAATACTCTGTGTCGTATATGGTGAACAACCCTGTATAGACATCCAGATCACAAAACTAGATATACATGTTACATATACCGACTGGAAAAACAGTTAACAATAATTCATTCTGTATATTTAGTTACATCATTTTTTGTAAAATTGTTGGTCAACTTTCAAACTAGCCAGGCATCTATTTTAGCCGTAACATATATAAAAATGTAAGTTTATCTTTTAGAAATGGAGATGTGTCTAACAGAACTATGACGCTCCAAGAGATTTCTGATGACGGGGGTATAATTTTTTATACGTATTTGAATAGCTTGAAGGCAAAACAGATAGTAAGTGGAACTTGAAACACTTATTTTTATACATCTATCAGTTCATAATTAAATTTTGTAGGAAGAAAATCCTCAAGTTTCTGTAAGTTTTTTGTTTTTATATACAAATGAAACATCTAATAAGAAAATAACACAACAGGTATGTATTTATACACTGCAACCTTTTAAATCGGAAGAGGGTTGCCTTTTATACAGGGTGGTCCGATCTGTATTCCGGAAACTTCGGCAGCATATTCTGCAGATAAAAATAAGTAAAAAAGTTCGTATAAATGTATGTCCTAAAATGCTTGGTTTCGGAGATCAGGGTGCAGAAATTTCATTTTTATTTCGATTTTTTCCAAATAATTTATGAAGTAACATTGGATAAAATTGGTGTATGCAGGGTGTATGGGAGTTTTTTGACATGAGGAATTTGATTTTCATGTCAATATGACTCCTATATCTAGGGACTTTAACTCCTATTTGTAAGGGGCGCCACCTACATGTTATTTCATCGGTGCCGGTATTACCCGTAACATAAACAGGGTGAGTTTTCTACGATGTTCTTTATGGGTATCTCGGAAACTACTGAAGATAGAGAGTCGGTTAAATGGGGAAAGAATTGCAGTTTTGTGGGGTCATAAATATGCACCTTTCAGATTTTTGAAAAAGTTCATGGTTTACTAGATATTCCGAAAAAAAAAACAATTTTTGGCTATTTTAAAAATGGCCCCCAATTCCATTATAATACATTTTAGACAAAAAAGTTTTCAGATAAAAGTTGTAGATAATCACATCCTTAATAGGATTGTATTCTCCGCTTTTTTCTAAAGCCTGTAGTTTTTGATATATGACACAAACTTATGTTTTTTTTAAATGGAAACCATAGTTGGCCATGACTTCATAAAAAGCGCCATTTTTTAAGCTTTTCAGCGATATAAGCTATAATATGGGTTTTTCTAAAAATTGCTGAGTTATAGCAAATTCTTATAATTTTTAAACATTTTCACTTAGTTAGCCATGGAAACAAGTTCAATCGTCTTTGCTCTCAGAAATGTCACACTGTAAAATCCAAACTTTGTAAATTATAATAACCAAAAATTGTAAATATGAATTGTTCAAATGAAGAAAAGCGTGTATGATTATTGGTTCAACTTTCCTTCCCGTACATTTTCGAGGATACGTTACATATGCTTTTTAGAGAACGAGTTTCAAGACATGTTAGAAAAGTTAAATTTAGCGACTCGCGCATCAATAGTGTGGTTCCAACATGACTCATTATGACACTCCCCCCATAATGAAAGAAATGTTAAAAATTATTTATATCATAATTATTCAAACTCAGGGATAGGAAGGGTTGGACTAATTGCATGGACCTCCTCGATCACCTGACCTATCCATTTTAGATTTTATGCGGTATATTTTTTGAACATTTTCTAAAATAATTTAAAGTGTATGTAGAGATATTATTTTTTTAAGTTTTAGTTTGTGTAACGCAAATTGTAAAGAACCGTTTAATAAAATATTAGTTAGTTTTTATAAGTCAATTAGTCTTTTTATAAGTTATAAATTATAATAATGAAATAAATAACAGAATAAGAATACCATACCAACTAAGTGAAATTAGCGAAGAAAGATAATAATTAGCTATAACTCAGTAATTTTTCGAAAGAAACATGTTCTAGCTTATATCGCTGAAAAGCTTAAAAATGGCGCTTTTTATGAAGTCATGGCCAACTATGGTTTCCATTTAAAATACATAAACAAACATAAGTTTGTGTCATATGTCAAAAATGAGAGGCTTTAGAAAAAAACGGAGAACACAATCTGATTAAGGATGTGATTATCTACAATTTTTATCTGAAAACTTTTTGTCTAAAATAGATTATAATGGAATTAGGGACCATTTTTAAAATAGCCTAAATTTGTTTTTTTCGAAATATCTAGTAAGCCATGAACTTTTTCAAAAATCCGAAAGGTGCATATTTATGACCCCACAAAACTGCAATTATTCTTTCTCCATTTAACTGACTCTCTATCTCCAGTAGTTTCCGAGATACCCATAGAGAATATCGTAGAAAACTCACCCTGTATATTTTTGTTGTAGTTGTAATAATATTTGACAAGGATTTAAAATAAATTATGAAATGCTGATTGACTTTTAGGTAAATCTGTGACTGTCACATTCGTTTTAGGTTCGAATGAAGGGCCGTATAGAGACCATGCGCACGTGTTGCAACGCAAAAATCTTCGAAAAACAACCGCTGTACGCTAAAATTCGAACTGTTATTATTGCAGAACAGGGTGTACCAGTGGCTTGGGAAGAGCTAAAGAAGAAACATGACCGTGTATTGGCTAAAGTAAATAAAGGAGAGATGGAATTCAAAGTGCCTAAACAATTGTAAGTAGAACTACAAACTTACAAACAAAAATAGGCAATCTAAAAAACCCAAATTCTAGAAAATTCGAAAAAATTCTGAAACTTAATAATTGATTATGAAAAAAAAACAAGAATACACATAAACAACGAAATACCAAAAATCTTTAGAAAAATAATGAAAAAAATCACGCAAAATCGATTGTCGTCTACCGGGTGCGTCTCAAAAGTGGCTCACCCCTATAACTTTTTTATTTCTTCAGATAAAAAAACCAGATTTGGTATGTTAGTGTAGTGGCTCACCCCTATAATTTTTTTATTTCTTCAGATAAAAAAACGAGATTTGGTATGTTAGTATATCACATAAATTAGAATTGATTGACGTATTCAATTGTTTTTGGTCACTTCCTGTTTCACCGGAAATGACTACAACTTTTGATTTTTAAATGGCACTCTCGGTATTTTTTTACTTTATTCGATAGAAAACGACACTCTGAATCGAACGACATATCATATGTCAACTTTTGACATATTCGCTCGAAAACAAATTGTATTTTAAATTTCGATCTAGAGTGCCATGCCAAAACACTCATTTTTAATCAAGGAGCCTTGGAAAAATAGATTTGATCGTATAATGTTTTTGGTGTCTTATCCTAGCCGGTTAAAAGAGTTAAAAGATGCCTAAATCGTATTGTTAATCATATTATATCTCAATTTTTTTCAAATGGAACTAGGGTGGCTCATTAGCATATTTGGAAAAAGCATTTTTTTACCAATAATTTCATACTACACACTTGGTATTTCGAGTCAAATTGTCGTTATGAACTGCAGGTTGCCAATTTCAAATAAACCAAAGAATATACCTAGCTAGAAAAAGAATGGACTCTGCCATACTGAAAAATGGTCCTACAGAAGTGGCGCCATCTATTGAGTAGGGCTTGTTTTAAATGGATCGAAGCGCGGGCTTTTTAAATGAGCGTATTTATTGAATTTTACTCTAAAATAATTAAATTTGATTATTAATCTTATTTTTTTATACAAATTCAACAATACTAATAACAAGTATCGTTGAGAAGTGTAAAAAATAAGATTTAACAGTATAATTTATACAATTATTAAATAAAATTAAAGCCAAACATGTGTAAATATTATTTATTATTTAAAATTTTTATTTATAAGTCAAATATTTAAACATCGTTTATTATAATAAAACAAGACCAACGTAATACACCCAAAGTTTTGTAAATGAAGTAAATATAAATAGGTACTTAAATGATGGCAAAAATAAAAGACTTACATTATATTTTTAGGGCCACAAACAAAAGGAATTGTCTAATTAAAACACATATAACAAATTATAGTGTGAAAAACGTTTTGATAATCATTTGATAATATTATGATTGGCGCTATGACCATTGCCTGGAAACTTATAGGGTGAAATTTTGATAAAATAATTTAGTACTCACTAAAAACACGGTATGTCGCTAGTGGTAGGAAAAATAAGTTTTAGAGGTTACTAGTTTATTTGGTTGCCTGTGATATGTATATACAGGGTGTTTCCTAATTAATCTAAAAAATAAAAAATCGTTAGAAAACGGTTTAAGGCGGGCTCTTAATAAGTATATTTATTTTTTCTCGACAACCGTTTGATGAACAAGAAAAACTCAAAAGATCAATTTTGTTGAAAAAGGATAGCCAGTCAAGAAAAAAATATATTTTCTTTAAAAAAGCAGTAGTGTACCATTTACGTTAAGCAAAATAACGATTTTTTTTTAATTTTTAACACCCTGTAGATCAGAAATAAAGTACTTTAGACCCAATGGTTATATAAAAATTGTTTTAAGAAAACATGAGGAATCACACCACAATTTTTTAGACTAATTAGAAAACACGTACCCTGTATATTGTCAACTTGACAATGATTGTTAATAAATCAAAAAATACCTTATCCGTTAAAAAAGCCCGATTTCGTAGGAAAAATTTTGGTTTTTATTGAATTTGGGCCTGCGTCTGCAAATACCCGGTATATTTTTTAATATTCTATCTATCTAAATTTTAAATATCATAGTCAGAAATAGTTTTATTATTTATTAACTGTAAAAATGGTATACTTATAAGTTTTATCAAATATTGTGATTTACTTTCTACCTTGTAGTCAAAATTTATATTTAATAAACTGTATATATATATATATATATATATATATATATATATATATATATATATATATATATATATATATATATATATATATATATATAATTAATAAATACTAATATATCAGTGTAACTTTAAAACTAAATCCTTTGAAATCAAATATAAACATAAAAAATATTTACAGCAGAAAAGGCGAAGGCGCTGGGTTAAACGTAGTCTCTACTAAGAACACGGAGGGGCGCTTTGACCCAAAATTTTACTATTAAGTTTCATATCTATCTTAATAGAAGATTATTTTCTTTTATCTATGGCTATGACAACGACAATATTTTTTGAGAATTTGACAATAGTATGACAATGGCCGTTGGAAACTATGGAAACTACAAAAAAATACTGATTTAACGCCATCTGGCAATAAGTAGTAGCAACGTCTTAACCAAAAAATTAATTGTACTACCACCTAGCGCCTGAGGCTGGAACTATTTTATTTGAAATTTTCGTGGAAACGGTGGAACCGCTTTTGCAATTTCACTTTCCCGCCCCTGAAATAAACCATATGCGAAAATGTCAAAAGTTGACATATGATATGTCATTCTATTCAGATTGTTATTTTCCATTGAATAAAGTAAAAAAATACCGAGGGTGCTATTTAAAAATCAAAAGTTGTAGTCATTTCCGGTGAAACCGGAGGTGACCGAAAACAATTGAATATGTTAATTAATCCTAATTTATGTTAGTATATAACATACCAAATCCGTCAGCCTTTCGATTAGCCGCCCCCGCTTTCAGCCCCGGGATCACGCCGGTACACATGACTATTTCATAATGGCTACAGAAATGGATACTTCACAAGAAAAATTAGCCATGTAACGATGATAAGGTTTTTTATGTAGCCAGCTGTTAAACTATAAATCAAATCAAATTTTTACCGATAACGGATTGATCTTCGTTAGTGCAAATGTTTTTTTTTATTTTCAGTGTTTTATACAAAATTATACCTGCAAGGTACGATTTCTACTACTTCAATGAGAACGAAATTGGAGACAGGATATTTTTTTCCAAATCCGAAGATGATAAGTGGGATCATGGTCACCTTACTGCCTAATATTGTTTTTCAAACAGATCGACGAGTAACATGTTTTTTTAACAGTTCAGTATAGTATACTAATGATTTATGAAAATACTTAGATTATGTTAATAAATGAAAATAAGTTAGTTTGTCAAAAATAGTTTTTTTTGTAGAATTTTAAAATACGACGCTGCAAAAGGTAATTTTTTGCATTTTTAATATCTCTTCTGGTACTTTACAACAGAGCTTTGTAGATCCTCATGATAAATCGGTTTTTGGTAATACAGGGTGGCGCCTCTCATACGCCGCGGAAGCTCCAAGGAGAATGACAGTTTGTATTGAAGTAAAATTTTGTGAGCATATGTAGGTAAACTCGGAGCACTTTTTAAAAATATAGAGAGTTCTACAGGCTGTCCCCAAAAAAGTTACATATCAAAGTTGTGTTTTTTGTAACGGAACACCCTATATATTAATTGATTTTTGGATTCTAGAAATAAAAAATAAAGGTAAGTTTTATTAAGGAAGCATGTGCCTAAAATATAAAGGTTTTACATACTTCACATTTTGTGAAAATGAAGAACAATTTTTAAATTTCAATAAAAGCTACCTAAATTGGAATTTACCCGGTATAGCATAATATTTAGTTAAAATGACTATTGTACCTTAAATAAAATTAAAACTTGACCTAAAAAGTTATACAGGGCGAGACAAAATTAATATTGAACATTGGTCTCCTTTAAAAGCAAGTTACTCTTTTATTTTAAATGGAACACCCAGTATATTATTCCAGTGTTCAATAGGGAATTCATATATCTTCAAAATATTATTAAGGTGGCCTACCCCTCAGACAAAGACTTTCCTAAATATGTATTTTCAATTTTATGATTTAATGTCAGTAGATCTTTCTTATTTGATGAAATCTAGGTGGCCTGTAATGTGTCTAACGTTACTTCAACATAGCTGACTAATTAGTCCAACTTTAAAAACTACTTATCATTTTGTATCAATTAAAACAAAAAAATGTCACAAATTAGCCAAAAATGGAAACTTATATGACATCAGAGAGAATTGATAATGATTCTCATTAGGTGGTGAATGCAGTGTGCAATCTTTATTTTTAGTGTTAGTTTATTTAGTTATTTTAGTTTCAATATTAACCAATATACAGGGTGGCCCGAACTGTATTCCGGTAACTTCGCTAGCATATTCGGCAAATAAAAATAAGTAAAAAAGTTCCTATAAATTTATGTTCTAAAATGCTTAGTTTCGAAGATACAGAGTGTAGAAGTTTCATTTTTATTCCGAATTTTTCCAAATAATTTCATAACGTCAATATTTAAATGAAAATTGGTGTCTGTGAGTTTCTTGACATGAGAATATGTCTACCTACATGTGGTTTAAGAGTTGTGGTTTGAAGAGAATAACTTTTCGTCCGTACCTGTATAAAACTACTGAGTGAAAAATATACAATTCCGTTATTTCTTATTAATAAATGTGTCTTGGTAAAAATCGCTGCTAGCAACCGTTCTCAATATATTTAGAATGGAAATAGTCAATACGTGTCATTATTGACAAAAAATAAACATGTTGAGTAGATAGTTATTTGACTGAAATTATAAATTTGACTTTTTCACTTAATTTTTATCTGCCAAATATGCTGCCGAGGTTTCCGGAATATAGTTCGGACCACCCTGTATATTGAAGCCAGCGTGTTTATTTTTTGTTAAAGAAACACAGTGACTACAATAATAACATTTTTGGTTGGTATTGAGATAAAAGTAGTAAGAAGCTTACCGAAAAATATCAAAAAATGAGTTACGCCACTTCGTGATAATTGACGACGATATGTGGCGCTACTTATTACCATAATTACATTGAGAACCATAGACTTAAAATAAAATATAGACTGAGCATCTCATTCATAAATAGCTGGAACATGCGGTCAGACAATATCTTGTTATTGTTGTGTTATTGTTTTAGGTTATAACGAGTGCGACACGAGCGATAGATAGGTTGTCTCTGTCGTAACGGTCGTTCCCTGACGACTCTGCCGAGAAACACAACACTGGCTTTCGTTTCTCAAGTACACCTGAACTCTCCGTCTCATAGCCGGGTAATTTTTTTATTTTAATGAAACTATAATTGAATTAAAAATATATCGTATTTAAACTTTTTTATATTTTATTAAGATTTAGGACAGGTTTTTTTAATAAAAGTTTAGAAAAAACGTCTTAGAGTCCAAAAAGGATAAAAATAATAAAATACACGTTATAGAAGACATTTTATAATCGAAATTATGTAATTTTTGAAATTAATAAATAATAAATTATTAATTTTAGTCAAACATTTACAACCCCTAATATTAATCAAAACAGGATCTATTCCACAGATATAATAGAATCTGCGACAGGGAGAGAAAAAAAAATGATTGTTGTAATTTTTTTTCTGGTTAAGTGATGTCTTATGTAAATTAGAGAAAACATAAATCTGTTCCATTAAAGCAAGGAAGATGATAGGAAGTGGATAAAATGAAAACTACATTTAGTTAACTCGGTACTGTCTTTATTATACCGGGTGCGTCCCAAAAGTGGCTCATCCCCATAATTTTTTTATATTTTCAAATAAAAAACAAGATTTAGCATGTTAGTATATGACATAAATTAGGATTGATTGACGCATTCAATTGTTTTTGGTCACTTCCTGTTTCACCGGAAATGACTATAACTTTTAATTTTTAAACGGCACCCTCGGTATATTTCTACTTTATTCGATAGAAAATGACACTCTGAATAGAATGACATATAACATGTCAACTTTTGACATTTTCGCATATGGTTTAATTGTAATTGTAACACGCGGTTCATAACGACAATTTGACTCGAAATACCAAGTGTGTGGTATCAATATATTCATAAAAAAATGCTTTTTCCAAATATGGTAATGAGTCACCCTTGTTTCATTTGAAACAATTGACATATGTATGAATAAAAATACGATTTGTAGACGATCAAAACTATTTTTCCAAGGCTCCTTGATTAAAACTTGTTTAAAACTTGTTAAAAAGTGTTTTTAACAACACCATGGCACCCTGGATTGAAATTTAAAATAGATGATATGTCATTCTATTCAGAGTGTCATTTTTTATCGTATAAAGTAGCAATATACCGAGGGTGTCTTTAAAAATCAAAAGATGTAATCATTTCGGTGAAACAGAAAGAGACCAAAAACAATTGAATACATCAATAAATCCTAATTTATGTCATATACCTACTAACATACAAATCTGTTTTTTTATCTGAAAAAATAAAAAAGTTATAGGGGTGAGCCACTTTTGAGACGACCCGGTATATTAAAAAATATTGTTTCATAATGTAATATCATTTTAAAATTCTTGTATGTTATTTTAGATTCTGAAGATAATTTTAGAATAAACCGGAATATATTTAAAAAAAAACATTATTAATTATTAACAGGGTTATAATTATGATTTTGTTACAATGTAAGTAAGTAAATAATGTAATGTAAGAGAAAAAATTCAGATTTTACATTTTACTAAAATATTATCTAAATAAGCGCCTTTCTACAACAACGCCACTGACTCCCAATGGGTAAATTGAGAGTTGCCTACCGGTCAAAAGTCGTTTCAAGACTTAAATGGATTATTTAAGTCAAATTTCGTGCAAATTTGGCACTGGCGAACCATATTTTATATTTTTTGAACAGAAAAAGTCAATAAAATAAACACTTGACAACAGGCTGGATGAGGAAGGCTCGGTCGACTGTACACTGAAGTAAACATGTGTACAAAAAAGGTTGTTTGTCCGCGTTGAGATGTAAACAGTGTAGTCTATATTTTATTTTAAGTCTATGTTGAGAACTGATTCATTGCTATATGTCAATTTCATGACTACAGGGACGTTCAAAAATTACTTTTTCGGCCATTTTTCATTAAAGAGATTGTATTTTTATATGCATGATATAGACATATACGACAAGACGGATTAAATATCTAGAAAAAAGAAAAAAACTAGAATTTTTTTTAAAGAATCGTTGCCGTGGATTTTTCCGACATTTTGCATAACGCTTCGGTAATCTCGGACACCTTTTCTATTACAAATTTGCCAGTAAGGTTGCGCAACGTTTGTTCATTCATTCAATTGACGCGTATGCTTTTAAAGTTAATTATATATTTTCAAGGGTTCCCTGTACTTTCAGATAATCAGATTTAATCAGTGCTGTGTTGCCATAATTTATTTATTTTACCCCCTTTTAACTAAATATGCCTTTTATGATAAACATAATCTAAATTTAATACTTAATGTGCATATTCTACAATGTGATGAATATCTACAGTGTGATGAAAAAGACCCATATAGTTTTACCCCCGTGACTTTTCTAAAGCCGAACAAGATTTTTTGAAAGCAAAGTTTTTTTTAAAATTAAAGTTGGTATGAAAAAGAGCGCGCAATAAACAAAAGTATTTAAAGTATCTAAACAAGTTATATTGATATTGTTCTTTTATATGCCGCTAAAATACCAATCTAAGAAAATACCTTTAATAAAAAGTATAAGAATAGTAGAAAAGTTAAAAAATATGGTTTAACATCAAATTTAAACCATTTTTGGTTTAAATTTTAAACCATACTCTTATACTTTTTATTAAATTAATTTGAATTAATCTAAGATTAAAAAGTCCAATAATAAAGTGTGCATATAATTGACACAAGAAATTATTATTCATATTAACGATTTTAACTATATTATGTCCCCATCAGGTGTCCCCAAACTTTTTGCTTATTTTAAAATGGTTAATCCCGTTTATACTAATAAAAATAGCAAAAAATATGACATTAATCAAAATTAATAAAGATCATATATCAGAGAATAAAGACCTAAAAAGGACATTACCATAAAACCGCGTTTTGATTTTTTGACTTTTGGAAATTTTTATTTTTTTCTAAAGCGGTATGGAAATTTGGAAATATACCGGGTGCGTCCCAAAAGTGTCCTATAACTTTTTATTCTTTCAGATAAAAAACGAGATTTGGTATATTAGTATATGATATAAATTAGGATTGATTGATGTATTCAATTGTATTTGATCACTTCCTATTTCACCGGAAATGACTACAGCTTTTGATTTTTAAATGGCACACTCGATATTTTTTACTTTATTCGATAAAAAATGTCACTCTGAATAGAATGACATATCATATGTCAACTTTTGACATCCTCGCTTAATAAAAATCGTATTTAGTATCGTAGTATTTAATCTAGAGTGCGATGGTTGTGTTAAAAACACTAATTCTTAATCAAGGAGCCTTGGAAAAATAGATTTGATCTTCTAATGTTTTTAGTGTCTTGTCCTGACCAGCTGGAAAATGCTTAAATCGTATTTTTAATTGTATCTCAATTTTTTCAAATTGAACGAGAGTGGCTCATTAGCATATTTGGAAAAAAGATTTTTTTTACGAATAATTTGATATCACACACTTGATATTTCAAGTCAGATTTTCGTTACGAACCACAAGTTATAATTTCAAATAAAAAATATGCGAAAATGTCAAAAAATGCCATATGTTATTCTATTCAAAATGTTATTTTCTAACGAATAAAGTAAAAAATTACCGAGGGTGTCATTTAAAAATTAAAAGTTGTAGTAATTTCCGGTGAAACAGGAAGTGACCGAAAACAATTAAATACGTCAATGAATCCTAATTTATGTGATATACTAACATACCAAATCTCGTTTTTTTAACTAAAAAAAAAATAAAAAAACTTATAGGGGTGAGTCACTTTTGAGACGCACCCGGTATAAACGGCATTAATCGTTTTAGAACAAGCGTTTTCTTATCGATAATGCGTTTTTCTTAAATTATTAATAATAAAAAAGCTTTTTTCTCTTTTAGAAACGATCCGAGGACATACCTACTGTTCAACATTGGAACAAAATACATTAAATGTTTTTTTAACTATCAAAGTCAACACCCTTACTTTTGATGATATATGGTTATATCTTGATAATTTATATTATTCCAAAATTTCTCGTAAACAACATGAGGCACACAACGAACCATTTTTTTAATATGCGGTACAAAGCGCAAATTTGAGAAAATTTAAAAATAAATCTGGCAACGTCCATGTTGTAAATATCAAGGTTATATGACGTTGAACATCCGTATCGCTTATTTTCATTATACCCTGGTATAAAGAATATATAAACAAGGATTATACTTACTACGTGACTACATATCTACTACGTGACCACCGACGCGACCGACGCGCGACGTGACTATTGAATTTGAAATTCTGTTGAATTCTAGAGTGTTTATGAATATAACAATAAAAAGAATATTACCTATTACTCGATATACAAAAAGATTCGCAAGAATGTCCTCAGGTCTTTCATACATTGACGTTCCCGAAAATTGCCAGCCTAGTAATTTGTTTAAACAATGGGCTGATGATTATAAGAAATATACGCACTCAGGAATAGTTTTATTTAACTTAGCCACATCATTCAAGTAAGTAAAACATATTTTACGATTATACTTTCTGCTTAAGGCATTTTATCAATTTAAAATGTTTATTATATTTCCAATATAGACAACCAGATATACACCTTACATATACTGACTGTCCAATTTTTGATTTAACATTTAAACTGATATACTGGGTGTACTGAATTATATTTTCCAAAATTCTAAAGTAATCAGCATGGAAGTTTTTCTTTTCATTTTCTGCATCATTGTAATATTATATTGGAAATAGTGTATGGTAACTGGTAACATTAGGGCTGAAAAAATATACTTATCTAAGATCTAAGCAGTGACAGTTGACAACGCTTGTTTTGTCTTTTTGTGATTGAGGCATTATCATGTCTATTTTTGAATATTTTTTTATTTCTACGTATAATAAAGCTCTTATAAAGCTAAATATAAATGAGAATATATACTCATTTATATTTAGCTTTATAAGAGCTTTATTAAATACAGGGTGCAAAATAATTTCTGAACCGGCATGAAAATTGGTGTCTGGATGTTTTTAGATATAATCAATTTGATTTCGATGTCAATATGACTCCTACTTCTACGGGACCCCACCTACATACTTTTTAACTGTTTTGAAGCGTACTGTGACTTTTATTCTCTTATTAGTAATTAGTAAAAGTGTGCAGGCCATTTAATGCCGATTAAAAGTTGTATCTAGATATTTTGTACATTTTGATCTCCTCGATGAGATAAACGCAATTTTATTAATTACAATTAATAAAATTAAGATAAAAATAAAATTAATAAACTATTTATACAGGGTGAGTATTAAATAAGTGCAAATATTTTTAGGGGTAGTACATTTTAATCCCAGAAACAGGATTATGAGTTTTTTTTGCGAAAAAAAATCTTTGAAAATTTGGAATTTTTTGAAAAAAAAAATTGAATTTTTTTAGTATTTGGTTAAAAAACATAATTTTTTGGGTGCCCGGTGGCGTAGAGGTACATGCTCTCGTCTACCAATCTCAAGGTAGTGGGTTCGAATCCCACACCCGGCATTGCATCAGCCGACTATTTTTATTAAAATAAAAATAGTTTCGGTACCTAGGTCGACTCAGTCTTAAATGAGTACTTGGGATTCACAATCCTCAGGTAATAATAGGCGGTTGAAGCGTAGTGCTAGCCACATTACCTTCCTTGTATACCGAACGGCTCTAGTATGGCAAGCTGTACCTTGCTACTCCCAAGGCGTTGAACGCTATATATGGGAGCTATTATTTTATTAATATAATTTTTTAATGATATGGCAACATAGGTAGTAGAATAGAGTTCTCAAAATTTAAGCAAAAAATATTTTTTTTTGGAAATTTTCAAAGTAAATAAATAACTGTTTTAACTTTTTTTTATATTTTTCGATGAGGAATCAATGAGTGGTACTTATTTAGCATTTTAATCACAATAAATGTTTTTAAAGTTTACTATAGTCTGTTCAACGAGAAGATCCTTGACAGTGATAGATGTGTCTGTTATTTTAATTTCAAAGTAGTTTATTTTATTTTACAAAGAAATAAGTTGATACAGAACTGTTAAAGTTGGTACCGCATAAATTGTTAAACTGGAACGCATAGCAGGAAATTAATATATGTATTTAAAATTTGACTGACAAGTAACTTCAAAGTATTGTGAATAAAACTGCATAAAACTGAAAAAATGTAATCGAGTTATTTTATTTAATAAAAAAAGGTATGTGTTAATACAAAACAAACAAAAACCAGACACTACATACCGAAAAATATAAAAAAGAACTATTTCTTACTTTCAAGCTTTATGAAACTTCCCGCATTTATGATTATATTTTATCAATATAACTTATGTACAAATACAAATTTGTAATATTCCGCAGGAATAAATAAAACAACATAAATAAAACAAACTATTTTATTAATAATAACACTTACCAAATTTTATAGCTCACAGGTTGATTAATTAACTTTAATCTTAATTTTTTAAACCAGTACCTTTTGACATTATTTTTCTGCAGTACTAAAATCCATTATTTACCTATCGTGTGATGTCGATATTTTACAGCTACTCCAGTTTTTAGTATGTGTTTAGTATGGTCCTTCTACCATATTCGAGATGCACTTATCTACGACGAGATGGTATACGAACTTTATTGATAGTAACTTTATTGGTGTATCTGTATAAGACTTTCTGCCTGGGCAGCGACTATAAACCATAACCTGTGCTCTGGGTTCTACAGTTAATTTTCACTCGATTTTTCCTCCACTTGACTTCAAAAGACACAAAACACTCGTAATAACACGAATCAAAATGCACCATCTTCCAAAACGCAGGGTATTTGACAAAAGTTGTCAGAAAATTATAACCTATAATTTGGCAAGACAAGAGATCTAAAGGCGAGTTCATACGCATCGGCGTCCGTTTGTCGTTCATCGTTCCGCCAAACCAATAAAATTGAAATACGATCTGTCATTTTTGAAATAAACCAATAAAACTGGTTAAAAACAACAAGTGACGACGCATGACGAATTTATATTTAAACCCATCCATAGTTAACTTAAAAATTATTACAAACTTTTTTTAGTAAAATAAATAGATTGGTATGGGACGTCATCTGCTTTTCTTCTGTCATCGTCTGTCGAAATCTTACCTGAGAAAAAAAAACAGAGTATATTATGTTAGAATTGGATTAATTCAAAGTAATTATTTTGCGTTTATCTCATCGAGGAGATCGAAATGGACAAAACATCAAGATACAACTTTTAATCGGCATTAAATGGCCTACACACATTTGCTGATAAGAGGAAAAAAAAGTCAGTGGCGCACATATTTTTTTTAGAAAAATATTCCATTGACAATCCATATGCACGTCCCTGGTGAATAAGTCGACATTTTTTTAGCATTAAAATATGCCGCACTTATATAGCAACTTTAACTACAGTTTAAAGAATATATTCTTTAAAATTATAATAAATCGAAAAAAATCTGAACTGGTCTCTTGTAGAACGAAAAATAAATCTTATTTTTATAAGAAGAAACTCTCCACGAGAGATGGCACATGTTTTTTGAAACACCCTGTATCTCAAATTCTAATTTGTGTTTTTTAGAAACGGGGATGTGGCTAACAGAACTTTGGCGCTCCAAGAGATTTCCGATGATGATGGTCTAATTTTTCATGCCAAATTCAATAGCTTGAAGGTGAAACAAATAGTAAGTGATACTTGAAACACTCATTTTTTATATGTCAACTGATAATTTAACTTTGCAGGAAGAGAATCCTAAAGCTTCTGTAAGTTTTTTGTTTACATATACAAATGAAACATCTAATAAGAGAATATCACAACAGGTATGTATTTGTTGCAGTTTATGACATGAAATGAAAAAACAATTTTGTTGGTTGTGTGTTTGAATGATTACTAGAGAACACTAAATTACTGTAGGAACAATGATATTTCTTTGTCAAATATTTAAACTACTTATCACATGAAAGAATTTTAAAGATTTTTTTGAAAACTATACCGGGTGCGTCTCAAAAGTGGCTCGCCCCTATAACTTTTTTATTTTTTTCAGTTAAAAAACGAGATTTGGTATGTTAGTATGTGATATAAATTAGGACTGATTGACGTCTTAAGATTGACGTAGTCAATTGTTTTCGGCCACTTCCTCTTTCGCCGGAAATAACTACAACTTTTGATTTTTAAATGACACTCTCGGTATTTTTTTACTTTATTCGATAGAAAATGACACTCTGAATACAATGACATATCATATTGTCAAGGTGTATGTGGCTTTAAACTGTATTACTGGTTGCCTACGTTGTCGCAACGTGCCTACGTGTCAAGAAACATGAAAGACGTTTTTGTTGAGGCGCCATCTCTTAATCAAGTCGACAAGTAAGCGAATCAGACAATAGATTTTTCCAGTATGAAGTAGAACGTTCTCCGAGAATTGGAGAAGGTTGGAGAAGCAGTCAATAGAGTATATAAGCCGGCGTAATCGGCAATTGGGACAGTTTGAAGTTAGAATATACCGCGTTTTAAATTATTACGAATTGGACAATTTGGCGAAGGAATTTTATAAATAGTTAGTTATTGCGTGTATAAAGTGAGATAATAAATCGTTAAGTATTTTATCGTGAGTTTAAATTAGTGAACCTACGGAATCCGTAACAATATGTTAACTTTTGACATTTTCGCATATGGTTTATTTGAAATTGTAACATGCGGTTCATAACGACAATTTGACTCGAAATACCAAGTGTGTGGTACGAAATTATTCGTAAAAAGATGCTTTTTCCAAATATGCTAATGAGCCACACTTGTTCCATTTGAAAAAATTGAGATATGATTAAAAATATGATTTGGGCATCTTTTAACTGGCCAGGACAAAACACTAAAATCATTAAACGATCAAATATATTTTTCCAAGGCTCCTTGATTAAAAATTAGTGTTTTTAATTGATTGAAAAATAAAATACAATTTTGTTTTAAGCGAAAATGTCATTATATTCAGAGTGTCATTTTCTGTCGAATAAAGCTTTGAATAAGAAGACTAAGGAAGGAGCATAATGCTATCCATATCTTCATGCATGGTGGGCGGAAAAAGGACTCTAAGGTTTGGATCCTTGACAGTTCTGTTTGACGACTCATTTGACACATTTGAATTTGATTTGAAATTTCGTGGATTTGTCAGTCTTTATGGAGCTTATTTTATGTTATTTATTATTTATTCTACTACTGATAGTTGTATAAAGGTAGTAAATCTAGATGGAAACTGTGGCAGAACTTAAATTAACAGTGACACTATCGCGATTTATCGAATAAGACTCTAAAATAGTTGGTTGTGTAGCGTGCGGTAGATCTCAGCAAAAATCGAGTGAAATAATGGAACAACTTTTCGCTAGTAAGTGACTATATAATATACATACGTGTAGTAAACCGATCATTTATGAAATTCACTTAAATGAACTAATTATATATTTTTTTTGCATTTTTGCTTTTATTTACTACTTGTCAAAGATTAGATGCCAAAGAATTTAGATACGTCAATTTGACTTACTTGCTTCAGTAGCGTATCGGTTGTTTATGGTTATAAATAATTATTATAACTTATCTATTTTTATTAGAATTTTATATTTTTATAACAATTTTAATAACTACAAAACATTTATTCACAATGTAAAATAAAAAAAAAATATTGAGTCTACCCCACGTCTATCCTACATCATAGCTTTACATTTTTTAAATAAAATTAGAACAGCACTGATAAACCGGAATTTAAGTCGGCCATATTTAAGACCCATCGCGGTGGACCTAAGATTTTTGATATGCTCCTTCCTTAGTCTTCTTATTCAAAGGAATAAAGTAAAAAAAACAAGGGTGCCATTTAAAAATCAAAAGTTGTACTCATTTCCGGTGAAACAGGAACTGGCCGAAAATAACTGAATACGTCAATCAATCTTAATTTATGTCATATACTATCATACCAAATCTCGTTTTTATCTGAAAAAAAAAATAAATTATATGTTCTGTTCATTTTCACAAAGTGGCCCATGCTAAAAAACTTAATGTCAAAATCAAAAACAAAGTCCAAACCACTGTCAAAAAATGTGAGCCACTTTTGAGACGCATCCGGTATTTTTCTAGGCATATCTGTGACTGTTACATTCTTTTTAGGTTCGAATGAAAGGCTTTATAGAGAAACTGCCCCCATCTTACAGCGATAAGATATTCGAAAAACAACCGTTGTTTGCCAAACTTCGAAGTGTTCTTATTGAAGAACAGGGTGTACCCGTGTGTTGGGAAGAGCTAAAGAAGAAACATGACGATCTATTGGACAAAGTAAACAAAGGAGAGATTAAATTGAAAACACCAAAACAATTGTGAGTATCACTGGCTTGTTGAGGCATATTATTTAATACATAATTTTTTATTTTTTTTCATTTATTTTTCAAAGTGAAATTTATAATCTGAACTTTATTGCACGTATGATATTAATGAACTATCTTTTATTTTGTTTTATACCACTCTTAATATTTTTTAATTTAATTTTTAATTTTATATAAATTTTACTTTATAGGGTTTTATACAAAATTATGCCTGTGAAGTACGATTTCTACCACGCCAATGAGAATGAAATTGGAGACAGGATACTTTTTTCCAAATCCAAAGATGATAAGTGGGATCATTATCATGTTACTGCCTAAGATTTTTGTTCAAATAGATCGACAAGTAAAATGTGTTTTAAAACAGTTTCGAAGAGTGCTCGCATTTAAAGAAGGAGCCAGGATCGTCATCAATATTTTGCAGGTGAAGGGCCTCCCTGACATTAGGGTACGTCCATAGTGCACCGGCTTCCCGCCTGATTTTTCCTGCTTTTACCAGGATGAATTATTGTTAATATTTAATTAACCGATTAATTTCATGAACGCGAGTAGTACTTTTTGTATCAGTTTAATGTGAACGTTATCACTAGCTAATAAAAAGACATAATAGATTCCCACGGGATAGTTCCCTGATGGCCAAATGATATTACCTACTACTGCTATTACTTGCTGACGTAGGCGTTTTCTTTCATCAGCTTTTCTGTGACTGAAAAGCCCGATACGTGATGTTATCTCTCTTCCGCACTCCGGATATTAAAAATCTCATTGCTTTGTTGCCTCTTTACTTTTAGGTTATCGCTGTTAACTGAGTTTACAATTCTTCTCCATTGCCTTTTATTGTGCGCTGCTTCTTCCCACTCATTCTGCATGTTTATACCCTTCTAAGTTTTCGTGGAAAATATCTTTGTACCTTTCGTAGGCGGTTTTCTTGCATTCTGCTTACGTGACCAGCCCATTTTAAGCGGGAATTTGTAATCATGACTTTAACGCTCTCGCAGCTAGCTTTTTCAAGTACCGGTACGATTGCGAAATTATATTCCCGCTTCCTGTAAGCGGTTGTTAATGGCCACTACCTTTAATGGCGCAGGTTCACAGAGCGATAGGATCTGCCGGGAAATAAGCCGGCTACCGGAAAGGGAGAAGCCGGTGCACTATGGACGTACCTTTAGACAGTACCGCGCGAAATATTTCGAAATATTGTTTTATAGCGTAGAATCTTTGAATAAGAAGACTAAGGAAGGAGCATAATGCTATCCATGTATTCATGCATGGTGGGCGGAAAAGCCACCATAAAAGCTCTCTAGGGTGGGGATCCTTGACAGTTCTGTTTGACGATTCATTTGACACATTTGAATTTGATTTGAAATTTTGTGGATTTGTCAGTCTTTACGGAGCTTATTTTATGTTATTTATTATTTATTCTACTACTGATAGTTGTATAAAGGTAGTAAATCTAGATGGAAATTGTGGCAGAACTTAAATTAACAGTGACACTATCGCGATTTATCGAAAAAGATTCTAAAATAGTTGGTTGTGTAGCGTGCGGTAGATCTCGGCAAAAATTGAGTGAAATAATGGAACAACTTTTCGCTAGTAAGTGACTATATAATATACATGTAGTAAACCGATCATTTATGAAATTCACTTAAATTAACTAAATTATATATTTTTCTTGCATTTTAGCTTTTATTTATTACTTGTCAAAGATTAGATGTCAAAGAATTTAGATACGTTAATTTGACTTACCTGCTTCAGTAGCGTATCGGATGTTTGTGTTAATAAATACTTATTATAACTTATCTATTTTTATTAGAATTATATATTTTTATAACAATTTTAATAACTACCAACATTTATTCACAACGTAAAATAAAACAACAAATTATTGAGTCTACCCCACGTCTACCCTACATCATAGTTTTACATTTTTTAAATAAAATTAGAACGACACTGATAAACCGGAATTTAAGTCGGCCATATTTGAGGCCCATCGCGGTGTACCTTAAGATTTTTGATATGCTCCTTCCTTAGTCTTCTTATTCAAAGGTTAGAATAAAAATATGTATGTCTCCTGGCTCTTTTTTTAAATGCATCCACTCTATAGCCATCTAGTAACGTTTTATGAAAATAGATTAATTTATTAATAAACATAATATAATTTGACTAAAATATAGTTTTTTGTACAATTTAAATATTATTGTTAAATATAAAAATATATTAAATATAAAAAAATATAATTTTAATGTTGGAGTATTTCTTTTTTGTAGGGTAAATGAAAGAGATACCCAAGATACACAAATCGTATTTTTATATCTCATTTTTTTCAAATGGGAGGGTGGCTCATTAGCATATTTGGAAAAAGCATTATTTACGAATAATTTGATACCACACACTTGGTATTTCGAGTCAAATTGTCGTTATGAATCGCATGTTGCAATTTAAAATAAGCCATATTCGAAAATGTCAAAAGTTGGCATGTGATATGTCATTCTATTCAGAGTGTCATTTTATAGATAAATGAAACAAGTTTAGATTGGAAAGTGCCCATAAGGTGCCCATAAATGTAAAAAAAGTGCCCATAAATGTAAACACTATTTGGCGCTATTTTTGCAACGGTCGCGACCCAAAACTTTTGAAAATTTCGGAATTTATACAATTATTAAATAAAATTAAAGCCAAACATGTGTAAATATTATTTATTATTTAAAGTTTTTATTTATAAGTCAAATATTTAAACATCGTTTATTATAATAAAACAAGACCAACGTAATACGCCCAAAGTTTTGTAAATGGAGTAAATATAAATAGGTACTTAAATGCTGGCAAAATAAAAGACTTACATTATATTTTTAGGGCCACAAACAAAGGAATTGTCTAATAAAAACACATATAACAAATTATAGTTTGAAAACGTTTTGATAATCATTTTGATAATATTATGATTGGCGCTATGACAACGACAATATTTTTTGAGAATTTGACAATAGTATGACAATGGCCGTTGGAAACTATGGAAACTACAAAAAAAATCTGATTGAACGCCATCTGGCAATAACTAGTAGCAACTTCTTAACCTAAAAATTAATTGCACTACCACCTAGCGCCCGAGGCTGGAACTATTTTATTTGAAATTTCCGTGGAAACGGTGGAACCGCTTTTGCTATTTCACTTTCCGGCCCCTGTATGTGTCATTTTCTATCGAATAAAGTAGAAAAATGTCGAGGATCCGAAAATAATATATCGAAAAAAATCTGGAAAAATTTTGAGAATCGTTGAATCTTTTCTGGGTTTTCTTTCTTGTAAATTTAATCTACTACCTATGTTGTCATATTATGAAGATATTATGTTTTTTAACCAAGAATTAAAAAAATTCCCAAAAATTCCAAATTTTCAATTTTTTTTTTCGCGAAAAAACTTCATCGACGTGTTTCTGGGATCGTAATATACTCCCCCTAAAATATTTGACAATTATTTAAGACTAACCCGGTATAAACTATTCAAAACAATTGTCGCAAACAGCTTAAAAAATATTAATTTGAAAAACAAGATACTTTGAATTCCCTGATTTGCGATTTTAAATAATATGGATACTGTGAAGGGAAATTCGATACAATAAGCCTATATACGCGCTGACCTGTAATTTTTAGTCGGCCGACTATTTAGTTGCAAAAATGAAAACAATATATACTTATGGAGCCGATCGACCGACTAGCTGATTACATGTGAGCGCGGCTCCATAAGGATATATTGGTTACAAATGCGCAACTAAAATAGTCGGCCGATTAAAAATTGCCTGTCAGCGCATACCCTAAGCCTACGCAATGTAATCAAATATTGGGCCGATCGGCTCCATAAGAATGTATTGTTTTTACTTTTGCAACTAAATAGTCGGCCGACTAAAAATAACATGTCAGTGCGTACCCTAATTATTCTAAAAAAACTCAAAAGAGAAAGGCTGAGAAATGCATGCTTCATTTAGAAATATGTAATAATTACTTTTATTTAAATATGCGATAATTGTTTTGAGTAGTGTATTTTCAAAGGTTTCGATGCACCTGCACTTTCAGATTTTCCTAATGAGTGCTGCGTTGCCATAATTTATTTATTTTACCTGTTTTTAACTTAATCTGCCTTTTATAATAAAAATAATAAATAATCTTAATTTAATGCCTATGTGCGCCTCCAGTGATGAAAAAGACCGGTATAGTTGTTCCCTCGAAACTTTTCTAACGCAGAAGCCGAACATGATTTCCTGAAAGCAAAGATTTTTTTTATAGAAACAGAGAGCTCGCAATATCGATATTGTTCTTTTAGATGCCGCTAAAATACATTTTAATAAAAAGTATAAGAGCAATTTAAAATTGATGTCAAACCTTTTTTTAACTTTTATACTATTCTTATCATAGACTTAGTAAGAACAGATATGACATTGTGCATTTTAACCCGATCAAACAATCGGAGGTTGACTACGTACTGTAAAAACCAACTGAGATAGAGAAGGCGACATTGCCACATCTCAAATTTGCGCCAATCTACTTAGTTTGATTTGCAGAAAAGGTGACTTTAAAACCTTCACCGGATATCAATAAATCTCAATTTGTTAATTAAATTAATAGTTTATTTTTAAAGAAGCATGCGTAATAATATGTTATTAACCAGAGGATATATGCGTTACTATTAAAGGACATGTTTACTGTTTAATGTGCTGAAACGTCTAGAACTATTGGCAACGTCGCTGCTAGACTTCCAGAATGAAATGAGCCGTCCGTCCCACCACCCCTCGCGACGGCCCATGGTCCGTTATAGCGTACTACGTTTAGCCAAAGTAACCAAAGTTTACAGGTTTTATTCTGTAAACTTTGGTTTAGCTTACGTTGTGTTTGCAGTCGGAATCAAGGCCGAAGTGAACTTTTCAGTGGTTTTCAGTAGTTTTTGTTTTTGTTTAACGTACTTTTAAATCTGCGAATTTTCAATATGGTAGGACAGTGTCAAATGTGTGGAAAAATAAGCTCAAATTACCCGAATTTGTCTTTTCACAGGTAGGTATTGTTTCCGCCGTAATCGTACATAGGCGTCCCACAAGGGAGCCTCTCGAAATTAAAATAATTTCTAATTATATTTGTTGAATTTTGATCTATTAAAACAAGAACGTAGTAGCCGGTAATTGAATTATAATTCGTCTCAATTACTACCTAACTGTTGTAGATCATAACAAATTTGAATATAAACGTTGCATTTGAAACTTTATTATATGCCAGAAAATGACATTTTTTTTAAATTGCGTAATATTTTGGTCATTATATACGATATTCTAAAGGAATTAAGCTACCTAAGTAATGGATTTGTAAATAAACGTAATATTCATTATTATGCGACAGAAATCCCATACTGTAGCACACAGATTTGATACTTTAATGATAAATGCCCTCTATTGAGAAACTAAAAGGATTAAAATAAATATTGATTTTAGGTATAGGAAGTTATTAATAATACAAGATTAAAAACTATTACACAGTACTTCACAGGAAGCTATCGATTGCGAACTAACTAAATCGTTACCAATTACTAATTTTGAAAAGTTCTTTTTAAGATCAAAAAAGGTAAAACTAAAACCTAAACTATCATTTGAGAATAAACGGGAAATTCTAAATAATGTTGCCTATTCTAAACAAGAAAAATTTACTTATAAGTTTTATAACATCTCTAATTAAATTTGGACGAAAAGAATATTTCTGTTTGCTGTATGTAATTTTCTCAGAGATTAAACGGGAAGTTCTAAGATCTCTTCTTCTCTCAGGGACAATACGTAAATAAAAATGACTTTTTAAGTCAAAAAAGTCAAAAGGACAGGTGGAAACCCTAGGTATTTCTGGAATGGAAATTTAATGGCAAATCTACAACTTTAGTTTGAAAATATGTTCCGGCCACCTATGATTACAAAAATGTCTAAAACGTGCTTTACCATTGCCTCCATATTCTAAAAAAAATGGAAGAAAAGTCACTAACCACAAACCTAATATAGAACTGTTTCGGAAGCCTGTGTCACCCTGTAAGTATTCAAAAGTAACTGAGTGTTTATATAGAAGTAACTGAAAGTTTTAATTGAATATCGACGTTGGAGCGAGTTTCGAAAACTACCTACTAACGTTTCAACATAAGTACAGTTCGTCTGCTGAATCTGTGTCTATGAAAAGAATGCGGACAAAAAACATTTAAATAAACAACAATATATTTTATACGTCGACTTGACGAGTACGTCACCGCAAATCGCTCCGCCCACTCATTTTATTGGCTACTTGCAAATTTGTCGAATTTTTATTGATGGGTCGCGTCGTCAAATTTTTTACGAAAAACATGGAGAGAATATCGTTTCCCCTCCTACGGATACCCCGTAGCTACAGAACGGACAGACGTACTGTATACATATGTGGGATATTAATTATATTATTATATTAGACTTTATAACAAAACTCATCTAACGAAAAAGTGTTAATGTAGTATATTAATATGGAGTAAGAATTTTACTAATTACTTTACTTTTACTTTACTAATTAAATTCGTTCCAAAAAACGATACGCCACTGGCCATTAGAACAATCCAAATGCGCCTAGTTGCCGGGGTCGGAAATTTTAGACTTCTCTGTCTCTTCTGTCTTTGTTTGACACATTGGAATGTTTGATACACTATCAACGAGTATTTATGAATGAGATGTTCGGTCTATCTTTATAATGTGTTTGATTCTTATACTTTTTATTAAATGTATTTTAAAAAAATGAAATATTAATATGATTAAAAATTCCTATAATAAAGTGTGCATATTGTTGAATGATTTAAACTATAGTTTGTCCCAAGTCCCAAGTGTCCCCAAAATTTTTGCTTAATTTAAAATGGTTAATCCCGTTATTACTAATAAAAGTAATAAAAAATATGACGTTAATCAAAATTAATAAGGATCATCTATCAGAGAATGAAACCCTAAAAAGGACATTATCATAAAGACGCGTTTTGATTTTTTGACTTTTGGAGCTTTTTATTTCACTCTAAAACGGTGTGGAAATTTGGAAAAACATAAACGGCATTAACCGTTTTAGAACAAGCAATTTTTATCGAGAATGCATTTTTCTCAAAATGTTAATAATAAAAAAGTTTTTTGTCTCTTAAGCCGGGTCCAGAGCAAGCAGACAAAACAGCGACAAGACTGTTCTAAGAAACATTTATATTTTACGACAAAGTTGCCACAAATTTAATACATTTCTGCGTCATTTTTGTCTCATTTTTGTTTTGTTTCCAAATTCGGAGACTTTTGAATGTCCCGTTTCGAGTCGGTAAAGTTCAATGAGTCTCTGTTTCGTCGTGCATTTTACAAGTTGCGGTGCAATGTGGATGTTTTGCGTTGCTAAAAGTAGGAAACTAATAGAATCACACAAATTTAGTACTGTGGAACACGGAAAATGCCTGTAAACTAATAGAGCTTTATAGAGCGCATTTATCATTATGGGACGGTAAAAACAAGGACTACAAAAATTGTTACACGAAAGCTGGTGCATTAGAGGAGATTGGTTTAGCATTAAATATAAAACATGTCTATACCTATGGGGCGGATTCATCTCTCCAAAAAAATCCTTTATGGGTATTTTTTTTATTAAATATATTAACTCGGTTGATGATGTTAAGAAGAAAATAAGAAATATTAATAGCTATATAGTATACGAGAAGAAATAAAAACAAAAACATTTGGGGTTTGCTTTGGGCGAGTCAAAGACAACACTACTGGTTTGCTAGTAATATATCTTTATTTTCTTTCTAATAAAAAGTCCACATGATTAATAAAACTGATTCGCATATACTGCACTTTCTTGTACTTTTGTCCTCGCGGTATAGACACTTTGTCTCAAATTTGTCGTGTCTGAATTCCTCATTTTTGTTGCAGGTTTGTCTTGTTTTTGTCTCAAAATCGTGTTCACTTTCTGTCGCCTTGGTCAGGAACCGGCACACAGTGGGTAAAAATCCAGAAGTATGTTGCAAAAATTATTTTTTTGTACGATTTCATTCAAATTTGGTAAAAACATTCTATGCCAGTAGCCCGTGAACCCAGTTAGTTTTGGCTGACTTGAGAGTGGTGGGGGGTGGTGGGGGGGATTCATAAAATGGGAAAAATCATCTATTGACTAATACGACAGCTACCAAAAGGCGGTAAGAATATTTTACATTTCACTAAATTTTATGATTTTTGGCAGAGCCAAGATGAAACAGACAAATATTGAGCAATTATTACTCCTCCGGCATATACAGGGTTTGTTTTATATATTGACATCCTCTGTATCTTTTTTATTCGACGTTTTCGAAAAAAGTGTCTTGAATAAAAGTTTAATTGTCTCGAATACATTTTTCAAAACAGTCTTCTTTGCATATACAGGGTGCCTTAGAAATCCTGTGCGTGGCCCAACTTTCTTATTTCAAATTAGTACCCAATTTTTTATTTGATTTTTATTTTCTCCTAAAAATCCTAACTACTTCTATGTAGCTAGCCTATACCTAATTTGAAATAAGATAGTTGAACCACGCCCAGACTTTTTGAAGCACTTTGTATATGCAAAATAGACTTTTTTGGCAAATTTATTCAAAACCACTTTCATTTGAGACAGTTTTCGGAAGCGTCAAATAAAAAAGATAAAGGGGGTGTCAATGTATAAAAGAAAACCCTGAGTATACTAATCCAATCTATTCAAGATTGTTTGTCATTTCAATAAGTTGGGTCTCTAATAATACCAGACAATATGTGAACAATATTTTATTATTATATTTTAAATAAGTAACCATATTCTGAGAATTAAACAATGACGATTTAGAAAATAACAGAACTTATACCTATTAAAAATATCTAAATTTTATTTTACCATTTACTATTTACTGATATTTTGTTTTATAACAGCTGGAGGCAATCAATGGTCACGAAGTGTACATTTTTAAATCTGAAAAAAATCCATTTCATTTAATTTAAAAAATTAGGTACTGTCAAAATTTGTCTATTTGTCAAAAAATGTCATTTGACATTTATGACATACCTCTTTGGAAATCTTGAGAAAAATTACGTAACTTTATATTTCAAGTTCTTCTCTAGCTACTATAACAATTAATTTATGAGAAGTATCCACATAAAGGATCTTACTATACACATACGCATGGAGGCTTACGCTTCCAATAAATTTAATGTTGCGATTTTTTGCGATTTTTTTGACTCAACTTTTCTAAGGCAGAATATATGCCACTATCAAAAAAACCTTAAATGATTATGTTCTACTTTGACCTTTACCTAGCTTTTATCCAAAAAATCAAAATAAAAGATACTTTTTTACTTACCTTGACATTAAATTTACCACAACCGGGAATCTACATAAAACACGTTATGACAATTTCACAATAATTATTGACAGCAAGCTAAGGTCGTCCGATTCAATTGTTATAATACTGTGTCACTTGAATGCAACGCCTCTATTTAAAAAATTGTAGAAAAAAGGCAGTTATTGGACACAAATTAACTGAAAATGTAGGTTTTGCGCAAAGTTCGTTTTACAGCCCCTCGAAAGAGACTCCGAATATGTTTTTTGTTAGTTTTATGTGGTTTCCTTTTAACTAATATGTTTCCAATCTAATGTTATTGCCATAAATGCTAACTGTGGATGTTATTTTTTGCAACTTAGTTTGGACATATTGCCTACTGTGCGGCATTAGAAACGATCCGAGAATATACTGTTCAACATGGGAACATACCTACATGATGTTTTTAACTATCAAAGAGTCAAAAGTCAACGCTTGTTTACTTTTGATGATATACCATATCTTGATAAATTTATATTATTCTCTAAAATTTGTCCTAAACAACATGAGGCACACAACGAACGATTTTTTTTAATATGCGGTACAAATCGCAAATTTAAGAAAATTTAAAAATAAAACTGGCAACGTCTATGTTATAAATATGAAAGCCGTATGACGTTGAAAATCCGTATCGCTTTATTTTCATTCATGAGTAAAATATCTACTACGTCACTTTATTGATTTAGAAACTGTTTTGATTTCTAGTTTGTTTATGAATGTAATAATAGGAAGAATATTACTTACTACTCGATATATATATACAAAAAGATTCGCAAGAATGTCCTCAGGCCTTTCATACATTGACGTTCCCGAAAATTGCCAGCCTAGTAATTTGTTTAAACAATGGGCTGATGATTATAAGACAAACACGCATTCAGGATTAGTCTTATTTAACTTAGCCACATCATTCAAGTAAGTAAAAACAATTTTATTTTTATATTCGCTGTTTACGAAATTGTAGTTATCTATGTGCTAAAACGTTTATTGATTTTCCAATATAGACAACCAGATATACACGTTAAATATACCGACATGATACTGACTGTCCAGTTTTTGATTTATCATTCAAACTGATATACAGGGTGTACTCTGAATTATACATATTTTCCAAAATTCTAATGTAATCAGCATGGAAGTTTTTCTCGTTGTAACAGTATATTTGAAATTATGTATGGTAATATTAAAAAATATATCTAAAATTTTACCTACCCTAATTACCACTACCTACATAAGTAGTGCATACAAGAGTGTTTTGTGGCTGCCCAAGTAGCATTTTTTTTCGAAAAATTTTCCAAAAAAAAATTCTGATGTTGAAATATACGAGCCCTAAAAATATTTGCACTTATTTAAGACTCACCCTGTATTTATTTTGTATATTCTTCTGTTCTATTAATTATCTTCTGTTGTATTAAATATGTAGGTGTATATTTTAGAAATGGAGATGTGTCTAACAGAAATTTGGTGCTCCAAGAAATTTCTGATGACGGTGGTCTAATTTTTAATACCAATTTGAATAGTTTGAAGGTGAAACAAATAGTAAGTGGTACTTCTAACCAGTGGCGTAGCTAGGTAACCAAGGGCCCTGGGGCTAACTAAAAAATGGGGCCCCACTGCTATGTAAACTGATTTTATCAAATAAAAATATGAAATGTACAAATACTTTAAAAATGCTAAACTACTTAAGCCCTTTTTTGTGCACTGCACAGGGCAAGTAATAAAAATATTAAACAGTAACAACATAACTTACAATTAATGCTTGGTGTAGGTTTGGCTAATAAAACGAAATAGAGAAGATTCAAGGGTTTATTATATAAAGGTCGGGCCTATCAACTGACTAAATAACAATAATTATATTCACAAGTTTCTCCTAACTTTAGTTTTCGCAAAAGTATTAATGACTTCGTTTAAATCCAGGCTTGATGTGGTTTTGTTTTCAATTGCTATTAGCAATAAATAATGTCGGAGTCGAGTTTGGCCCATATTATTTCTTAAATATTTTTTTATTATTTTTAATTTGCTAAATGACCTTTCAGTTGCTGCAGAAGTGACAGGAATTGTAAAAAATAATAACATTGCTGTAAATACTTCAGTTAGGTCCGATTCTAGCACTCCACATTTGCTCATTATTTCCTTACATAATTGGTGAACAGTCCATGCTTGAGTTAGTTGAGGTAAAACTAGGTGGTAAATATTAGTAAATTGAAGTGAAAAACTAGGGCCTATTATATCTGAATATTTTCTTTAGAATTCGTCACACTTTTGTAATAAAGTTGCTTCATCAACATGTAATAAAAATGTTGGTGTTAGAAAATCGAATATATTACAGACTGCACTCATACTCTCATACCAATAAAACGTGTATCTAATTGAGATATTACTGTGTCTAGTACATTATTGAAAATCTCAATTTTAAATATTTTTTCTCGGTTTGGAAATCGGTGATCAGCAGCTAATTCATCAAAATGTTTTTTAACTTTTCTTTGCCTTTTTTCTTGAAAATGGGTATCAATAGCATATTTTCTTGCAGTTTCACTGGCTTTGCAACCTGTCATATTTACTTTGAAAATGGGAGAAATTTCCAAAAGTTCAGTTCGATCGACATTTCTGGTAAGGATTCGAGGGTCCCCTGAGCTTGAGGGCCCCGGGACACTGCCACGCCTAGCCCCTAGGTAGCTACGCCACTGCTTGTAACACTAATTTTTTTATATATCAATTGATATAATTAATTTAACTTTGCAGGAAGAGAATCCTAAAGTTTCTGCAAGTTTTTTGTTTACATATACAAATGAAACATCTAATAAGAGAATATCACAACAGGTGCGTGTTTGATGCTGTTTATGATATAAAATGAAAAAACACTTTTTGGTGGATACGTTGTGTGTTTGAATGAATACTAAATACTAGAGAACACAAAATTACAGTAGGAGCAATTATATTTCTTTGTCAAACATTTAAACTTCTTATATCACAAAAGAATTTTGAAGATTTTTTGCGAACTATATAGAGAGTTCAGAAGTCAATCAGTATAAGCAAAGAATATTATAGTTAACACATTATAGTAGTAGAATTATCTTTGGTATAAGTCAATCACCAATTCCATTGGGATAATGAGGTTTAAAAACAGGATTAAAAAAAAGTCAATTTGAAAGGAAAATGAAAGGTATTTGTATTGCCTCCCCCGGCTGTTATAACCAGTTATAACTGTCTGAAGATGTCAGTTCATAACGTCAAATCACAATATATTGTATATATCTTTACCCATTCTTTGAAAGCGAATATAAGCGAAGGACCAAGGGAATATTCATAATTTTGGGCATCTTGAACAGGATTAATGACTTTTGCACAAAAAAAATAATCGAAGAGTGGAAATACCAAAGGGGTTAAGTGCCAAAATTATTTTTTCGAGAAAAATGAGAAAAACACAGTAGAGCTCAAACTACTACATTTTTAAAATATCTTTTAAAATATACACAACCAAACTTATATGGAATCACTCTTTATTTCTGACTAAATTTCTTGCAAGGATAAAAATTGGTATACAACTTTAAGATAAGGCTTTTTGTTGTAAATAAACATGAAAATAAAGAGTAAACGACTACTGCGATTTATTTTCTTTTGAATTTTGTGTTCAGTAGTAAAAATCACGATTGTCCGGTAATTTTCATTCAATCCAAAATATTTAAAAAATGCCTTATGTTGGATTAATAAATGTACAGAGGGTAAGAATTATTGCTCTCACCGAACAAGGAATGCTCCAGAGAGACGTAGCAGAGATAGTAGGCGTTACCCATGGTGTTGTATCGAAACCATATGCAAGATACTTGGAATTAGGAACACACAAGGATAGGCCCATACAAATTCGCCAAAGAGTCACAACTGAACAACAAGACCGCCTTGTGTGCTAAATTGCTAGAATAAATCCCAATGTTTCTCATCCAGAGTTACAAAGACAACTTCTGGCAGCTACAAGTGTGAACATTTCAGTTGAAACTATAAGAAACTGTCTTCGTGCACGAGGGTTTTACAGTAGGAAAGAGTTACGGATCCTACAGTTATCTCGGCAAAATAAAATTGACCGGCTAAATTGATGCCTTCAACATCAAAACTGGACAACTGAGAATTGGCAAAATGTTCTTTTTTTCGGATGAGAGCAGAATTGGCCTAAGATCAGATAACCATCGAATTCGGGTTCTTAGAGCTCCAGGAAGTCGAGCGAGACTTCAGGCTGCCAAATCTGTACCAAGATATAAAAGAGGAACTGTAATTTTCTGGGGAGGTATTATACTAGGAGCAAAAACTCCATTGTTACCACTTCAACAAATTTTAACGGGTCGGAGATATGTTGATTTGGTGCTAGAACCAATCGTTAGTCTGTGGAGAGCTGCAATTGGGGATAATTTTAATTTCATGCGTGATAGTGCACCTCCCCATACCAGCAGAGTGACTAGAGAACGTATTGAAACGGAAGGTGTCATAGTTTTGGACTGGCCTGCCTATTTACCAGATCTAAACCCTATCAAACACTTGTGGGACTAGCTCAAAAGAAGGGTTAGAGCTCGTCGAAACAATCCAGGAAATCTCGCACAGCTTATTGATGCAGCATTAGCATAATGGGAAAACATACCCCAAGACAACGTGGATGATTTAACAAGAAGCATGCCAGCGCGGATAGAAGCTTGCATAAGGGCTAGAGGTGGCAACAAAGAATATTAAAATTACCAATTTACTTTTTGTTTAAGCTTTTTGGCCATTAAAAATTTAAATCTTAATTTCGTTTCAGAAACCAAAAAAATACCATTTTGTTTATTTTGGGAACTGATTATTTTTTTTTTATTGCTATATGGATTATTTTTCATTAAAGGTCATTGGTAAGGACTGAGTTTTATTCATAAACAGAAAATTTTCATACATCTCAAAAATTATGGGAAATAATAGGTGATTCCATATAAGTTTGGTTGTGTATAGATATAATATAGGTACATAAAAAATAAACGCTTTCGCTTAGCATTTGTAACTTTTGTTAGGACATGCGTCATGGTATTTATTACGTTTCTAATGCAATAACTTAATATTGAATAATTTGACACTTACCCCTTTTGGTATTTTCACTCTTCAATTATGAACTGTTGATTGACTTTCTAGGCAAATCTGTGACTGTCACGTTCGTTTTAGGTTCGAATGAAGGGCCTTATAGAGAAACTGCCTACATCTTACAGCGAAAGGATATTTGAAAAACAACCATTGTACGCTAAAATTCGAAGCATCCTTCTTGAAGAACAGGGTGTTCCAGTGTGTTGGGAAGAGCTAAAGAAGAAACACGACGATCTATTGAATAAAGTAAATAAAGGAGAGATTGAGTTGAAATCACCAAAACAATTGTGAGTATTACAGCCTTGTTGAGGCCATATCATTTTTTTTTCATTTATTTTTCAAAGTGAAATTTATAACCTGAACATTATTGCACATATGAATTAATGAACTATCTTATCTTACTCTTAATAGTTTTTAATTTAATTTTATATACATTTTACTTTATAGGGTCTTATACAAAATTATACCTGCCGAGTACGATTTCTACCACGCCAATGAGAATGAAATTGGAGACAGGATACTTTTTTCCAAATCCAAAGATGATGAGTGGGATCATTATCATATTAGTGCTTAGATAGTTAACTTAGCTCTAACAATTTAATTTAGCTCCCTACTCTTTGTACTCTCTGCATCCAGTAGCGTGTCGTGGATAAAAGGGCGGAGGGGGCGAAGACCTTAAGGAGCGCAATAATCAATAAAGGATCAAATAAATTACAAACTTTTTTTTTTATAATAAGACTACATGAAAACGTTTATTTTTTTTAATTATAAATTTGTTTATTAAAAAAGTTAGTATACAAAACAGTTATTTCAAAGATGCAAGCGTCTTGTTTTAACCGATTTAAAAGAATCAATTATTTCGTCTATATTTAGATCCTGGGCTGTATCTGCTTCAATACTGAGAAGTGGTAAATAATTGGTTCTATCTTATGTGCTGGTGCACCTCTGGTAATTATTAATTCTTCCTAATCTACTGAAAGATCGTTCTGCACCAGCACTGTTGGTGGCTATAGTGTAAAAAATCCTCAGTAATGCACATAAAGATGGATATGAAGACTCTGGTCAATGGAAATTAAAAATGATAAATATTCGTCAGGTGCAAGTTTGTTATCATCAGCATTAATTTCTTCTAATAAACTCCAAAATGTTTATATTCCTCAATTAAAGAAGGTTTAACATCCGCTTGGTACAATATCTGTAGATCCATAAGACATTTTAAATTGTCATCATTGACGTTCATATCCAATAAACAATTAAATTTTTGGCATATTAAGGAAGTCTTCAAACCGATTCTCTAGAGTACCAGCTAAAGTACCATAAAACACTGATATCTTGAAATTATCTTCAGAATTTTATGTAGGTAATTATTCTGGATTTTATCATGATTTTTTTTCATTCTTCTTTTTCTTTTTGTGGAAAATTATGTTGACGTATTGCATTTATTTGCCAAAATAGTAGCCTGTTTTTTTTTTAAATTTTCAAAATATTTTTCACTTCCTAATGATTTGAGATCTTTAGTTACCGCAGAAATCATATGAGCAGCTGTACATAAGTTGATATTAACCTTTTGCAAGTGATTGGACAATATATTAATTTTATTCAGCACTTCATTATAATCGATTATATTTCGGTCGGTGATTCCCCGAATTTATTTACTTCGCGACTGCTTTCGTCTTCTTTTTTGGCGGCGCCGCGCCGGCGCAACGTTATGTCTAGCCATTGTATTTTTATTTATAGACAATGGTCTAGCGGTAGCGTAGTTTCAAACCCATATGAAACCCATATTCATTAGAGATTTAAATTATTAAATATAAGTAAACATTAATAAAAAACAAAAATAAAATGTGAGAAATATATATACGTCACTTTTTATCTTTAAGAGCTAAGGGTAGGTACGGTAGGGCACCGTTTGTTTTTGCGATAAATTTAGTTTTTCTATTTTTTTTGAAAGGGCGCCAGAGGCGCTAAGCGCCTAGGGGCGGAGGGGGCGTCCGCCCCCCCTGGCCCCCTATACGACACGCCACTGTCTGCATCCGCCTTAAAAAAAGTACCTATGTTAATAAATGAAAATATATTTTGACTAAAATAGATATTTTCCACAATTTTGAGTTGCTTACAGTCATTTAAAAGAATCTTGGTGCAGTGTTTTATTACTATAAAACCAAATGAGGTTGTAAAACGTCTTGATTTTTTTATATATCTACGAAATGAAAATAATTAAAAACATCAATAGTTTTATTTTACTTATTATTATTGTTTGTTGTTACTCTTATTATTTAATTCTGTAAATAAAATATATTTCATCAAAATTTTCGACGAATCTATTTCTATTAACTGAATGATTTCATCCTGGATAAGCTCCTTATCATTGTGTACCTTTTGAAATATTTATTACACATGTAATTTTTGAACACTAATCATTTTGAAACAAAAGCATTTATGTTTTTAAATAGGTATAAAGTTTAATCTGTAATAGTTAAGAAATAAAACTTAAATGTCACTGAAATATTTAGTTAAAATAAAGATTCCGAAGAAGAATATATGTACAGGAAGAAATCATGTTACCCTCGGGGCTACAATAGAATATACCGGGTGCGTCTCAGAACTGGCTCACCCCTATAACTTTTTTATTTTTTCAGTAAAAAAACGAGATTTGGTATTTTAGTATATGACATAAATTAGGATTGATTGACGTATTCAATTGTTTTCGGTCACTTTCTGTTTCACCGGTAATGACAACTTTTGATTTTTAAATGGCCACCCTCTGTATTATTTTACTTTATTTGATAGAAAATAACACCCTGAATAGAATGACATATGTCAACTTTTGACATTTTCGCATACGGTTTATTTGAAATTATAACTTGCGGTTTGTAACGAAAATTTGACTCGCAATACCAAGTGTATGGTATCAAATTATTCGTAAAAAAATACTTTTTAATTACGAATAATGAATTTATACCCCACAACTGAAGAAGCATACTTCTTCAGCTAATGGTAAACTGCTGATGGACACATGCCATCTAGTTCAAAAGGACCCAGTCCAGGAAAGTTTTCTCGTTATAATTCGGCTTTAATATATTCTTTTGATGATAATAATGTTATTTAATAATGAATTTATACCACCCAACCGAAGAATCATACTTCTTCAGCTAATGATAAACTGCTGATGGACACATGCCATCCAGTTCAAAAGGACCAAGTCCAGGAAAGTTTTCTCGTTATAATTCGTTATTAATAATGTTTTACGTTTTAGTGTATTGTTGCGGACCGGTGTGGACTCGATCTAACCCACAGAACACACTAAAGAAGAACGCTAACTCCCATGCATTTTTTAGTTTCAAAACGGTTTCAAATTTGTAAAGAAATCTGTAATCTGTATATTGAAGTGGCGCCATCTAGCCACCCAGGAAAGTAACAAATGTGGCGGCAAATTTAAATAGATGCAATTTATTTTTAAGCAAGACGTATTGACTTGTTCGCCAGTTAGAGCCAATCAGATTTCTACAAAATAATGTGTAGTCATCTGATTGGTCCTAAGTTGGCAAACAAGTCAAATGGTAAAAAACAAGGATTTATATATAAAGGTTAAACCAGGTTAAACTATTGTAAAGTGTTAAATGGTTTGCTTATATCATTTTATGTGCATAAAAACCTACAATAAATAATTTATTTTAATTTACAGAAAATTATACCATGAAACATTTTACAGACAAATAAAACAACAGATTTAAAAGTATAATATTTATTATAGTACCAGATTTAAGAACACATAACAAATATCGTTGGAATACAAGAGAAAGTGACGTCCATTAGAAACAATGTTTTATTTACGTGTATTTTTTACATTATGGACTTGAACAATTGTGTAATATCACATTGTGGAATTTATGTACAAAAATATGGAGTTGATCAATATTTTTTTGTAAAAATATATGGCGTTGTAAATATTACATTGTTAAAAAATAAAATTCACAAACATTTGGACTTGGTTAGGTTACCTCACCTCACTTTCTCGGATTATTAAATAAAATTGTTAGATAAATCAAAGACCTTTAACTTAAACCTTACCTTTAATAAGATCTTAAAAATCAAACACAAAACAAAGTTCAAAAAAATTCAAAAATACAAAATCACGATTGTAAAATGAAGATTGCAAAAAACACAGCCAAACAACCAGAAAACAGCGAAACGCACATCTCCGTTCAATTGCAAAACACAACTGAAGAGGAAGGAGGAAGCCGGTAACGGAAAACTGATTTGACGTACAGAACAATGACAGAACATAATTAATAGGCCTATTTAGGCAACTATAAAAACAATTTTGTACGCAATTGTTAGGCAACTAGAAAAATTAAAATAAAAATACGCCATCTAGCGCCCCAGGAAATTACTACCCCAAAAAAAGATCGTTCAAGGTCGTATATCTCAGTTGACTGGCCCTGACCTAACCTAACTATATGGCCCGCCCTCGGATGACCTTAACATCGCATTAAAGAATAGACACCGTAATGATTCATTCGAAGATTCGAGAAGCATCGAGTTCCACTAGAATTGAGTAGTACATACGAGAACAATCGGAACCTTCTCTATGCACCTAACGATCTATGGACTATTCTAGAGATCTTTAGCTGTCGGTATAAAAGCCGGCAGCTGGGGCCTAGAGAGGGCAGTTATAAATAGACGAGTGCAGTTGACGCACTAAAATTCAAAATAAATTCTTAGTTATAAATCGTTTGTAAATAGTTCTATAAGTCTATTATCGTTATTGTTTTTGTTAATTAGTGTTAAATAAATAGTGTTTAAATAAATTGTGACTTTCTATCCACACGGAACCGACGAAAAACGTAACAGTATATTTATGTACTAAATGAAGGTCTTAATAATATTGTGATTGTATATTAAATGAAAGTAAAATTAACAAAACATGATAACTATAATTAGATAATAGACAAGGACAACAATATGTCTGACTGACATCTGTCTAACAGGTCGTGGCTACAGGCACGTAAGACGGAATACAGTCCATATTCAAACGTATACAGTCCATATTCAAACACCAAATATGCTAATGAGCCACCCTCGTTCCATTTGAAAAAATTGAGGTATTATTAAAAATACGATTTGAGCATTTTTGAACTGGCCAGGATAAGACATTAAAGACATTAGACGGTATTTTTCCAAGGCTCCTTTGATTAAGAATTAGTGTTTTTAACATAGCCATAGCACTCTACTTGATTGAATTTTAAAATACGATTTTTTATTAAGCGAGAATGTCTAAAGTTGACATATGATATGTCATTCTATTGAGAATGTCATTTTCTATCGAATAAAGTAAAAAAATACCGAGGGTGTCATTTAAAGATCAAAAGTTGCAGTCATTTCCGGCGAAACAGGAATTCACCAGAAACAATTGAATACGTCAATCAATCCTCATTTATGTCATATACTAATATACCATATCTCGTTTTTTTGTCTGAAAAAATAAAAAAGTTATAGGGGGTGAGCCACTTTTGGGACGCACCCGGTATAGTCTAGCTAGGACAATCATTCTATTATACAATAGGGAGCGTGTTGGTGGAAATTAGAGTAATTAAGACTTAGAAGAACATTGGATCACTTCCATATTTGAGCTAATCCACTCATCAAAAAATTTAATAGATATGATCTCCCCCAAACAAAAAATCATAAAAATGTCTTTGCTGAAATGCATCATTATCTTTTTTCCGACCTTAATGACTGAAATGAACAAGTCAGTGCGGGTGCCAGATATCACAAGCATTATTGTCATACACAATTTTATAAGTCATGTTTCACAGTCCCTGGACCATCAAGGGGCATATAGGCGACGTCTTTTGGATGCTGATATTTCAGACCAAATGATGAAGCCAGTCCATTATATCCGGGAAAATGGACAAGAACAATATACCCTGAATGAGTAGCAAGATATTCCAGATAATTTAGAATTTTTATCATTTATTTCCAACTCCTCATTGATGTTTGTTACTTACAAAAAGTTATTATAACTTTGCAAAAGTTTATAAAACTTACAAAGTTATTATGCAATTTTATTTTGTTCACGACACTTTCCGGAAATCCCAAAAAAGACATTAATATTATAATAATTAAACAAATACTTTAACCTTTCTTAAGAGAGTTGCTTAAAGAGACTCTAAGAACAACCATTAAAAAATCTTGAGAATAAGCTATTATTAGTGAAATATGAATAAGTTTGTAAAAATCTTAAAATTTTTGGACCAAGGAATGTTTGCCCGTTTTTTATTATCTCAAAATATGACAAAGGAATTCAAACAAGTTCCAAAATGTGATAGCTGTTGAAGTTATAAAACAATTTGTCCTATCAATTATTATTTAAGAAAGGGTGATTTTCACAAATCTAAAATTTGTCAGCATTCATGGGACACAGTTCGGAGACGAAAGAACCCCTGCAGGGACAGTCCTCAAAAAAGAAAACCACCTAAGAATTCTCACGTCCGAAGTATCCCGGGCAATCGCCGAAATCAAAAATAACAAGGCACCTGGCGAAGACTCTACCGTAGCAGAGCAATTCAAGAACCTTAGCGAAGAAGCAATGGAAAAACTTACTCACCTGATGAACGCCATCTACGAAAGCGGTACCCTACCCCAGGACTGGCTGACTTCTACGTTCGTACCTCTTCCAAAGAAAAATAAAGCAAGGAAGTGCGAGGACCACAGGACCATCTGCCTTATGAGCCATGCTGCTAAGATAATGATGAGGATCATATTTAATCGGATACGCTCCAAGTGCGACAACTACCTAAGTCGATCGCAGTATGGCTTCAGAAGAGGAACAGGAACAAGGGAGGCCATCCTCTGCTTCGTAGACTACAAGAAGGCTTTCGACCGCATACAACATGAAAAAGTAATAGACATCCTCCAGGAAATCGGAGTAGATAACCATCACATCATTGTAATTCGTAATATATACTGGAACCATAAGGGATGCGTCCGAACATCAACTGGAAACACCTCTTACGTAGATATCCAAAGAGGGGTATGTCAAGGCTGCCTCCTCTCCCCGTTGTTATTTAATGTGTACTCGGAGTACATAATCAAACAATCGTTGGAAGATCGAGCTGAAGGAGCTAAACTAAATGGAATAGTAATTGACACCGTAGTGATCGGACAGTCTAAAGAACAGCTACAGACTCTGATGAACATCCTAACAGAGCACAGTACCAGAATGGGTTTGGAGGTAAACGCATCTAAGACCAAAACTATGGTGTTTTCTCGGACCTCTCAAAATCACCCTCAATTAGACATTGTTGTTAATAACACCACTTTACATAATGTATAAAAGTACTGTTATCTGGGTAGGGAAATAAACAGTCAGCTCGACCACTCTATAGAGATTAAAAGGAGAATAGAAATCGCTCGTGCAGGATTCGTTAAGATGCGAAGCGTACTCTGCAACCCGTGTTTGTCCATAGGGGTTAGGAGGGTGAGAACACTCAAGTGCTACGTTTGGCCTTTGTTGCTATACGGGTGCGAAACTTGGACCCTAAAACTGGAGGACCTCAGGAAGGTGGAGGCATTCGAAATGTGGCTTTATAGGCGAATCCTACGTATAAGCTGGACCACTAGAACAACAAATGTGGAAGTACTGACCAGAATGAACACCCGTACCTACTTAGTCAACACAATAAAAATAAGGAAAACCGCTTACCTCGGGCATATAATGAGATACGAAGAATACGAACAGTTTCAGCTAATACTTCAAGGTAAAATCGAGGGAAAGCACGCCATAGAAAGGAAGAAGAAATCGTGGCTTCGAAATATACGAGATTGGACAAATATTTCAAACGGGAATACTTTAATACATCGAGCCCAACATAGGGAAGATTTTGCCATAGTGGTCGCCAACCTCAACGGAGACGGTACCTAGGAGGAGGATGGGACACAGGGCACAGAGTAGATTTTAACAACGCAAAAATCATAATGAGAGAAGCGATGGCTTCTAAAAGAAAAATAAAAGAGGCTTTTTTAATAGAATCTAGTAAAAATAAATGCATTGCTCATGCATCTGTAGTTGTTAGTAATGTATTGCAATGGCTTCTTTGATTTTGAAGAACATAACATACGTAAAAATTAAAAACAAATTAAAAAATAATCATACAGAAATTTTGAAGCCTTTTGGTTTTACCTTATTAAGTAATTATTATCAGGCATAGATAAATGCAACAAGTTTAGATTGGAAAGCCCGTAAAAAATTTAGGTCGCGAAATTATCTTGGGTCGCGACCGTTATACGCGATCTGGCGCTGCCATAGCGGTCGCTAAGAACAACGGCAAACAAAAACAGAAATAATTTTCTCATGTCAAAGTCAGAATCTTCAAAAATCATAATAATCTTTCAAAATCTAAACCGCTCTCATTAAAGAAATTGTTTGAAAGTGTTTATAGCGTCCATTTTCAAAGTAATTATTGCTATCTTGTAAGTTTAATTCAAGTTTTATTTACTCCAACCGGTGATAATTGTGAAAAAGTGGCATTAAAAACTTAAAATGCTGTGCTGTGAACTGTGAACTGCAAAAACCATCGTGGATATGTCGTGGATCGTGGCATAACGCCGGTTTCCAATGTTTCATAGGTATTTCATACATGCGTCCTTATATAAAATAAAGTTTCTTGTACACACTGTATTTTATTTATAAAATTAAACGAAAATAATAATAAATTTGAATAAACAATATTTGGCGATATAATTCCGGAAAAAGCCGAACCGCTCCGAAATTTTCAAAAGTTTTGGGTCGCGACCATTGCAAGAATAGCGCCAAATAGTGTAAACCTTATGGGACAATGTAAACCTTATGGGCACTTTCCAATCTAAACTTGTTTCATTTATCTATGTTATCAGGTAGTAATTGTTAATTTTGACGTTTAACTTGATATAATGTCATTTTAACAGAACGTCAACGGTTTTTGTAGACGTATCTATTTTGTGACTATCTATTGACTCACCCCTATAACTTTTTTTATTTTTTTAGAAAAAAAAATGAGATTTGGTATGTTAGTATATGACATAAATTAGGATTGATTGACGTATTCAATTGTTTTTGGTCACTTCCTGTTTCACCGGAAGTGACTACAACTTTTGATTTTTAAATGGCACCATCGGTATTTTTTTACTTTATTCAGTAGAATATGAAATTCTGAATAGAATGACATATCATATGTCAATTTTTGACATTCTCGTTTATAAAAAAAATGTATTTTAAATTTCAATCTAGAGTGCCATGTTTATGTTAAAAACACTAATTCTTAATCAAGAAGCCTTGGAAAAATAGATTTGATCGTCTAATGTTTTTAGTGTCTTGTCCTGGTCGGTTAAAAGATTCCCAAATCGTATTTTTAATCATATCTCATTTTTTTCAAATAGAACAAGGGTGGCTCATTAGCATGTTTGGAAAAAGAGTTTTTTTACGATTAATTTGATACCACACACATAGTATTTCGAGTCAAATTTTCGTTATGAACCGCATGTTATAATTTCAAATAAACCATATGCGAAATGTCAAAAGTTGTGAGTCATATGATGTGTCATTCTATTCAGAGTGTTATTTTAATACTGATGGTGCCATTTAAAAATAAAAATTTGCAGCCATTTCCGGTGAAACAGGAAGTGATCGAAAACAATGGAGTACGCCAATCAATCATAATTTATATCAAATATACTAACATATTTATCCTCTGTTTTTTTTTCTCAGGTAAGATTTCGACAGACGATGACAGAAAAAAAGCAGATGACTTCCATACCAATCCATTTATTTCACTAAAAAAAGTTTCTAATATTTTCGTTAACTATGGATGGATTTATAAGTAAATACGTCATGCGCCGTCTCTTGTTGTTTTTAATCAGTTTTATTGGTTTATTTCAAAAACGACAGATCATATTTCAATAATATTGGTTTGATTGGCAACATGGCAACGATGAACGACAAACGGACTCCGATGCGCATGAACTCTACTTAAGATTTTTGAGAGTTGTCAAACTCTTGCCAAATTATAGGTTATAATTTTGTGTTATATGTCAAATAGAAATGATAAATATTGTGCATTTTGCATTTTGGACTGTGTTGTTACTTGTGTTTTGTGTTTTTTTAAATTATGTGGAAGAAAACTCGAGGGGAAATTAAGTGTTGACCCAGACCATAGTTTACATTTAATATTCGGTGCCCAGAGACCGCCAGAAACACATTTTGCCAGAGAGTTGTATTAGCCACAAATAAAGTTGTATACGATCTCGTATATGGTACCATAAACTGGAGTATCTGTAAAATAACATCACACGATAGGTAAATAATACATTTTAGTACTAGCAGAAAAAAATTAAGATTAAAGTTAATTAACCAAGATTAGATTTTTTCAGTTTTATACTTTGAATAAGAAGACTAAGGAAGGAGCATAATGCTATCCATGTATTCATGCATGAGGGCGGAAAAAGCACCATAAAAGCACTCTAGGGTGGGGATCCTTGACAGTTCTGTTTGACGATTCATTTGACACATTTGAATTTGATTTGAAATTTTGTAGATTTGTCAGTCTTTACGGAGCATATTTTATGTTATTTATTATTTATTCTACTACTGATAGTTGTATAAAGGTAGTAAATCTAGATGGAAATTGTGGCAGAACTTAAATTAACAGTGACACTATCGCGATTTATCGAAAAAGATTCTAAAATAGTTGGTTGTGTAGCGTGCGGTAGATCTCGGCAAAAATTGAGTGAAATAATGGAACAACTTTTCGCTAGTAAGTGACTATAAAATATACATACGTGTAGTAAACCGATCATTTATGGAATTCACTTAAATTAACTAAATTATATATTTTTCTTGCATTTTAGCTTTTATTTAGTACTTGTCAAAGATTAGATGTCAAAGAATTTAGATACGTTAATTTGACTTACCTGCTTCAGTAGCGTATCGGATGTTTGTGTTAATAAATACTTATTATAACTTCACGTCTACCCTACATCATAGTTTTACATTTTTTAAATAAAATTAGAAGGACACTGATAAACCGGAATTAAAGTCGGCCATATTTGAGGCCCATCGCGGTGTACCTAAGATTTTTGATATGCTCCTTCCTTAGTCTTCTTATTCAAAGGTTTTATACAGTTATTTTTCACAATATTTTGAAGTAATCACTTGTCACTCAAAATTTAAATATTATATTAATTATGCGTTCCAATTTTACCAACTTATTTCTTTGTAAAATAAAATAAACTACTTTGAAATTAAAATGACAGACACATCTATCACTGTCAAGGATTTTGTCGTTGGACAGACTATACCAAATCTCGTTTTTTTAACTGAAAAAATTAAAAAGGTATAGGGGTGAGCCACTTTTAAGACGCACCCGGTATATATTTTTTTTGTAAATTATGCATTTCTGCAGTATTTTTTTGAAAAGCTAAAACTAAATAAACAAATATTTCTTACATAACTTCAACTAAGGCTGAACTTCAACTGAACGAAAGTTCAGCCTTAATGGGTACTGTATCTAAATTAAAAAAAAACGGACGGAAGTTATTAATAAATTTTTAATCTCATCAAAAAAATTGTTTTCTTTCACCTGTACTTATTTGTCATCACTCCCGATTCGGGAAATATGTGTGTCATTGAAACCTAGATACCGCGTTATCTCACTGATAACTATTTGCTTATCGGATCCTAACGAACAACCTGCCACAGTCTTACTCACACGCCTAGGCGCAAGGTGATGCTTTTTCGATTTCATAAACGATAACCATTGTTCCAAAATGAAGCCTAAATGGGCCCTGGTGGCCCTGGTGCTTTGCATTTGTACTATAAGTTTCGGTCAAGATGTTAATCCGGACGCTGAAGCGGTGCCCGGAGTTGAAAGTGACGGAAACACGGATCAGGATGGCCAACCTGTGCCAGCCGAAGAACAACCGGAAGAGGGAGCTAGTGGGGATGTACCATCCACGGCTTACGGTAGGTCTTAATAAAAAAAACTTATTAATCTATATATTTTTTGGATAATATTAGATACTAAGGGTGTGGTCGTATACCCTATTCCTCGAAAGTTCTATTAAAAACTCATTACTTTCAGCGTTACCTTTATTTAAAGTGTTTAAATACATTTAATTTATCTGATTTTTTACTTATTTTCTCCTTGATATAATAGCTTATATTTTCGAAAGAATCATTACAAAGATGGCTGCTTTAATCGTTTTTGTTCACGAAAATAGGCGTTATCGCTTGATAACGCTAAGTCTAAGTACATATTATTATTGTTTATTTTCATATCAATCGATAATTTCCACAAAGTGTCTAAACTGACGCACAATGTTAATCAAGCTTTATTTAGATTGACATGTAGTTTCGAGGAAAGAAAATATTTTATACTTTAATCATACTGTATCGGAAAATTGTATTTATCACTCTGAACGCGCATTTTCCTAAGTATCTTGTTAGCATTATCAGCAGATAATTAAGATTAATTTACGTGTATTATAGTTTCTAGAGAAGCACTGCCTCAGCATTTTTTTTATCACTCTGAGCTCAGATTTCTAGGCTCAGACTTTTTTACCACCTTTGGAAACACACGTTACCTTTGGAAACACACGTTTTGTTAGTTATGTCGTTAGTATTCTCAGCAGATAATTAAGCTTATTTTAATGCGTTATATAGTTTCTAAAAAGCATCGTTAATATCGTTTCTAAAAAAGTCGTTAATCATGACAGCATCAGCAAACTTTTTTACCACTCTGTAAGCACGCTTTGTTAATTATGTTGTTAGCATTATCAGCAGATAATTAAGCTTAGGTTAAAGTGTTCGATGTTTTCTAGAGAAGCATGCATTTCTAACGTTAATCATACTAAATCAGAAAGTTTAGAAGAAACTCTGGACTCTAGAAGCATGTTTTGGTTAATTATGTTGTTACTATTCTCGGCAGATAATTAAGCTTAGTTTAAACTGTTCTATGTTTTCTACAAAAGCATGTCGGTAATCATATTACATCAGAAAGTTTTTTACTACTCTGGAAGCACATTTTGTTTATTATTATGTTGTTGACATTATCAACAGATAATTAGCTTAGTTTAAAGTGTTCTATGGTTTCTGGAGATGCATTCATTTCAATCCTTAATCATACTAAATCAGAAAGTTTAGAAGAAACTCTAGAAACACGTTTTATTAATTATGTTGTTAGCATTATCAGCAGATGATTAAGCTTAGTTTAAAGTGTTTTATGTTTTGTAAAGAAGCATGCCGTTAATCATATTACGTCAGAAAACTTTTCCCTCTCTGGAAGCATGTTTTTCTTAACTATGTTGTTAGCATTATCAGCAGATAATTAAGCTTAGTTTAAAGTATCTTGTGTTTTTTAGAGAAGCATGTATTTCAATCGTTTTCTTTTTTTATAACTCTGGATTCACGTTTTGTCCACTATAATATTGTTAGCACTCTGGAAGGATGTTTGGTTAGTTATGTTGTTAGCACTGTCCTTGCACTATCATTGTATTGTAAATATTTGTTTAGAGTGGTAGGTATATTGTTCATCGTTTCTATTATAATAGAGCGCCATTTTATACTTAAATCTCACTATACCACGTTTGGTTATGTTAATCGCTCGGTTAATCATCAACAGATGATTAAAACTATTGAGATAATCAATTGACGTTGATGTTATGGGAGTAGCCCTCAACATTTTTACAATAATTAAATTCATAATTAAATTCATATACAGGGTGGCGCACCTCATTCGCCTCGGTTGATTATACGAAAACGGAAAGATGTAGAAACAAAATATTGTATGGGTGTATGTGGGGAGGGAATGTGCACAATTTAAAATAATTTTGAAATGTACAGGGTGTTTCAGAACTAAGATCCATACCAAAGTTATATTTTTTCTTATGGAACACCCGGTATTTTATTTCATTTTTGGATTCTTGGACCCAAAAAAAGGTATTTATTATAAGTGTTAAATATGTTTAAAATCTTTAGTTTTTGAGATATTTAAGGATATTTAAAAATGCATGCTACATTAGAATAGATTATTAACACCCTGTATATTGCTTTTCAGAACTAATTCCTGTGCTGACTTTTAAGCCAGAGAACTAAACTTTACTGAAAAATTTGATTGCTTCCTTTAATGTATACAGGGGTATCAAAAATTGCTGGTCTATTTTAAATATTTATTTTACATAAAAACTTCGTTATTTCAAATACATCACCCTGTATTTTTTTAACTAAATCGAAGCAGATTCAAATGATCTTTCAAACTATATTAGGGTTTCCTATACCTATCTAGCTCAGATTTTGAATAAAAAGCGATTTTTCAATAAAATTCCTATCAAGATGGCTGGTGTCGGCATGGCAATTTTCTAGTTATAGTTAGTAACTCTTTTCAAAATTGACATTAGTTTATGAACATTATTATTTAGATCTATAACAGTTTACTTAAATTTAGCTACAATAGTTTAATAGGTACTTATTAAACTTCATTATTCATTATTCTATCAAGAAAAATAAAGCAGTATCTGCTGGTGGAACGAATGGAAATGTTAGTGATTTTATTTTGTGAGGAAAATTGCTTCTTGGTCTCAAGAGCCTATGCTCAAAGATATCCAAATTGGAATTTTCATAATAAGCGTTCTTTGAAAAAATACTTTTCTATTTCGCAGAGCTATGGTAGTGTGGTTTATAAAAAACCTATTAGGCAGAAACTAAGTAATTGACTGTTTTAAAGAAAATCCATATATTTACACTATAACCATGTATCTAAGACTATAAGTGATCATAAAATAAATAAGAGAAGTACTTCTTCGTTTTTCTTTAAAGAATAATAAATACATATTTAATAAATATTATTTATTAAACTACTGTAGGCAAATTAAATGAAAGTAAACTGCTATACATTTAAATAAAGTCCATAGACTAATTTCGATTTTGAAAATAGCTACTAACTGTCACTAGAAACTTGACATTAGCCATCTTGGTTCCCATATATATATATTATTGAAAAATGGCTCTTTATTCAAAATCTGAGCTAGATAGGTATAGGAAACCCTAATATAGTTTGAAAGAGCATTTAAATCTGCTTCGATTTGTTTAAAAAAATACAGGGTGTTGTATTTGAAATAACGAACTTTTTATGTAAAATAAATATTTAAAATAGACCAGCAATTTTTGATACCCCTGTATACATTAAACAAAGCAATTAAATTTTTCAGTAAAGTTTATTTCTCTGGCTTAAAAGTCAGTACAAGAATTAATTCTGAAAAGCAATGTACAGGGTGTTAATAATCTATTCTATTGTATATAGCATGCATTTTTAAATATCTTTAAATATCTCAAAAACCAAAGATTTTAAACATATTTAATCCTTACAATAAATACATTTTTTTGGGCCCAAGAATCCAAAAATGAAATAAAATACAGGGTGTTCCATAAGAAAAAATATAATTTTGGTATGGATCTTAGTTCTGAAACGCCCTGAATATTTCAAAATAATTTTAAATTGTGCACATTGCCTTCCCACGTATACTCATAAAATATTTTGTTTCTACATCTTTCCGTTTTCGTATAATCAGCCGAGGCGATTGAGGTGCGCTACCCTAGTATAGTATATATATATATTATATATAGTATATGTAATATATATACTATATATAATATATATATATATATATATATATATATATATATATTATATATAGTATATATATATATAGTATATATATATATATAGTATATATATATATATAGTATATATATATATTCCTCAAAATATCGCAATAATTAACTTCATACTATTTTAAAATCGCAACTATACTGAATTACAACACGTAAATGTTGTTTATTTTAATTTAGTATTTGTATGGTATCTAGATAATGATTTGTTTTGATCATCTAATGATAATGATAATGCTTTATAGTCATATTGATTTGTGTCCAGAGTGTAAAAGTACTGTAGTTAAAATATATAATTTACAGAGCTTGCCGATATTCTAAAGTATTTTTTAGATTTTCTTTTATTAATAAAACTTTTTAATTTTCAAATTTGTTTAATTGCTAATATATATGTACTTATTCTGAGTAATGAGAAATGAATAATTTAAAAGAAACTGAAGTAATGAAAAATATATTACCTGTTTAGCGACCTTTTCGTGAGTAATAAAGATAACTAAAGATAACCAATTTATTACCTTGCGATGTGTTATATTTTACAAGGTGCGGCATCATAATATATCTATCAGGGAAAGTAGATAGTTATTAAAATTCGTTTTAGCACTTGTTTTTATCTTTTCTATGGAATGTATACTTGATCAATTTAAAAAGTCTTTTTTTTAAAAGTAACATATTAACCCGCAAAATTAAACATTCTTTAAAATTAGGTCATAAGTGCGGAAAATATAGATGATATTTTGTTGCCCTTAAATTTTGGAAAAATATTCAGTGATTACGATTTATTAAAAAAAATACAATTTAATTTTTTTTTCCAAAAATCATTAATGTCCGTAAAGCTTCATTCAGAACCCCGAAATTAGTGGAATAAATTAGTGGTTTCAATTACACTTTATACTTTTTAGTTTAGGATCATTCACAATGCTTAAAAAACAAAATTAAAACTACTAGTTCACTCATTGGGGATTTTTGCTTGGAAAAAATTCCGGAAGTTTTGCAACTTTGCAGGTTTATAGGTTTTGGGGTCCCTAACTAAAATCTATAAAATGCACATTTACAGACTTGCCGCCGGCGCCGCCATTTTACCAAGATGGCGCCCAAAATCGGTATTTTGTGAATATATCGAAAACTATGTGTTTTTCGCGAAAATTTGAGGAGATCAAAATTAAAGAGAATAAAATTTCCTATAAAAAAGGGTTTATGAAAATTTTCGCTAAAGTCAACCGTTTAGGCACAAAATCCCTGGAAATTTTACAATTTTGCGGAAAATATGATATATTATGTATAGTCGATTTTCCGAAATCAAATGTCGATTAGGATTCACTAAAACTAGTTTAGTTTAGTTTCTTCAATTTTGTCATGAAACAGTGGCGTATCATTAATTCGCTCATTAATTTATGAATAATTAATTTTAATTATTGAAAATGTGTACTTGTTTCCACACCACCCAAGAGATAAAGTACATGGAGCGTTTATTTTAACGTGGTCTCCCCGGAGGCCTACTCCACTAGGTAAATTAAAAACTTTAACTTATCTGCACAAGCCCGACGGATCTGGCTCATTGATGTCAAAGTCGATCGTGTCTGCTGTGCTGGGCTCATCAGGGTGGTCTCTCAATACGTCCAACTCTTCATCTTCAGCCGCCAGAGGGATATTTACAGGCAAGTCCAACCCCTCTTCATTGGATTCGTTGAGTGACACTTCAGTGACGTTGTCATAGGATTTCCCATTGTAGTATACACAAATCATAGAACATTTTAATCCTGCTTTTCTGCGTCCGCATGCATTTGTGGCTTTACCACAGTTGTTGGTTTTGCATTTACAGGATAAAAATGCGTCTAAGGATTTTGGAGCTGGATCTTTCAACGTTGTGATTGGAGTAATGCCTGTTTTTATTTTCTTCCAACCCCATTCCTCGGCATCTTTGGTACAACCAGACCAATGCTGAACCTGGTGGTAAGTTCGCAATGAATGCTGTCCAGCATGCACGACAATTAATTATTCATAAATTAATGAGCAAATTAATAATACGCCATTGTTTCATGACAAAATTGAAGAAACTAAACTAAAACTAGTTTTAGTGAACACTGAACACTAATCGATATTTGATTTCGGAAAATCGACTATAGTTAGTATGTCATACTTTACGCAAAATTGTAAAATTTCCAGGGATTTTGGGCCTAAACGGTCGATTTTAGCGAAAATTTTTATGTAACTTTTTTATAGGAAATTTTATTCTCTTTAATTTTGCTCTTTTCAAATTTTTGCGAAAAACGCATAGTTTTCGAGATATTTACAAAATGCCGATTTTGGGCGCCATCTTGGCAAGATGGCGGCGCCGGCGGCAAGTCTGGAAATGTGCATTTTATGGATTTTAGTTAGGGACCCCAAAACCTATAAACCTGCAAAGTTTCAAAACTTCCGGACTTTTTTCCAAGCAGGCCCCTTTTTTGATCCCCAATGACTGAACTATAATAGAATATCCTAGCAACAGCTTGCGTTAGTTGGTTGTATCCATAGAGAAAACCTAATATTTAGCTTATAAAACAATAAAACAATCAACTTTTGATTTCTAACTACAATTTCTCTTGACGGAAGATAATCAAAGGCTAAAATGACATTTCTCGCAAATTTTGAAGTATAATTAGTGGAAAAGATAAAAGTTTGAGCGGAGACGAGAATGCAATGGGTTGCCCCCTGGTGCCCCAAAGTTGAGACTAGTAGAGGCTAGTCTTCTATCTAGCCAAGCATCCCTTTGATCTGGTCCCGCTATCGTAGAATTTAGGTATTTGGTGAAGTTATCTCCTCTTGGTCCGGGAGGTTAAGCCACATAGACAGTAGAGAGTGCATTGTATGAAGGACAGGGTAGCCTCATCCGGCATTGTTTTGTGCAATGGTGCAATTGCACAAAATTTTTGTGCTCTTGGTGCAATTCCCCGGCCACGACACTACAGCCAAGCACAAGACAGTGAGATGCTCTTTAGACCCAGCGAAAGTGCCAGGGGGGATTCCCCCTATCACCTGATTAGGACCTACCAACGACAAGGTCTTGCATCACCTAGAGGAAGTACACTCTTGGAAACTTTCAAAAGTTTCCAAAAGGAATCTTCTTGACTTAAATGATGGTACAGTCGACACTCGATAATTTGACACTCGTTAATTTGAATATCTCGATATATTGAAGTCCTTTAAGAAAATACTCGATAAATTGAAAAAAAATAATATAATTTTCCCTTGATAATTTGAATGAATTCTGGCTTGCCGACATTCTATAATTTGAAGTGGAGCTTCCTTACTATCTATAATTTGAACTCGACATTTTATAATTTGAAGTAAGAAATCCCATATTTTGAAGTCCGTGATTATGTATTTGCCTATTTGCCATTTGTTTAGTCAATAATGTAGTCATTGCGTCGGTATTGTTTTCCTGTACAGACCTGTCGTTAGTTTACATCGATAACTCTTGTTTATTTGAATTTATCCCTATCTCCTCTTGATTATTTCAACTTCTATTATTTTGAACTCTCTTTATATTGAATTTCCTTCCTGGTCCCTGGAGTTTTCAAATTATCGAGAGTCGACTGTAATTAGCTTGGGGCGCAGCTTTTTTTAACTTGAAATCACTTATAACAAAACAATCAATATATAGAAGCCTCCCCAAACATAAAATTATAAAAATTTCTTTGCGAAAATGTATCATCCTCTTTTTTCCGACTTTACAATAACTGAAATCAGTTACATGAAAACGTGTTTTTGCTTTACATTCTAAACACTCTTCTTGTGTAGGTATGAAATTAACCTAGTAGATACTGTAATTTAGACATCAATACCGTACCGAGAAAAAACAAAAATAAACAAAAATGAACCAACAAACCAAACCAAATCAAAACAAACCTAACCAAAGCAATCAAAACACGCTGTAAGCTAAAATGCGTCTGTTTACTAATTCCAATTGCCGAGTACTTTTCAAATCTTGCTATATTTTACAATATTTTATCAATAAATGAAAATGGTAGACCTCCGCAAGAGGTTTTTTGCGTGTCTCTGTTTAGAAAAATTTCTAGAATGAAAAACAGAAATGTGTTTTCATGTAACTGGTTTCAGCTATTCTAAAGTTGAAAAACTGAAAATTATGCATTTTGCAGAAAAAAATGTTGTGACATACTATTCAAAAAGGCTTCCAAATACTAAATAAACAAATATTTCTACATAACAGATTTCAAGTATTCTAAAGTTGAAAAACTCGAAAAGGCCGCATTTCCGCAGAAAATTTTTTGTGACATACATTCGAAAAGGCTTCCAAATACTAAATAAATAAATACAAAAAGTTCTTCCGTAACTGATTGCAAGTAAACGAAACTTGAGTCTTAGCTTGACTTGGTAGTTAATTTAGTTATGTCTGAGTGCAGCTTCAGGCCTGAAGCCAAGCATGTTGCGCAATATGCAGTTTAGTAGTTTAGTTGCTTAAATAATTATCCTTAAAAAACTCAGTTTAGATTAATCCCTTTATTAACTTGTATATAATATAACTTATAGCAGCTTAAAGTAATAGCAAAGTAAATAACCTTACGACCAACATTCCCCCAATAGATATATTAACATTTAGCATAATTTAGCACATTTAATTACTAACATTATTTTGTGTTTGTTGTAGAAGAACCTTCCGTAGACAATTCCCCTCCTAATCCCGAAGATAGCAACGCTCCATCGTCAGATGTTGAATCCATGGATGGGTCGGATACCACAGGTCTGAAAACTGGTCAAAAGATCTTTAAATCTGGAAAGTACATCACGTATTACGGGGCTGATTATGGTTAGTTTTTTATGTCGCTAAAATTTAAGCTGGATTTGTAAACTAGACGGTTCGAGTTGAGTTGAGGTTGAATGTTTTGATTGTGAAGAAATGAATGAAGGCATTTTAAAGCATATCTAAGTTTGTTTGGCGTTTATGTTCTATGCAGTCAATTAATAGGTGACTGAGCATGCAAAGAATTAGAAAAGGAAAATTGTTCAGATAATTATTGTCTAGATCAGGGGTGGCCAAGTTTTCTTTATACAGGGTCCGGCAATAGTACGTCGGGAATTTTGTTTAAGTGCAAACCTAAAATATGTACGAGGATGTATTTCAGGAAAATATTCTTCTTCTCAAGGGTGGCTCAAAAAAGGTTGAGTGGATCGGGATGATTTTTTTTAAATGGAACACCCTGTATATTATTTTATTTTTGGCACCTTTTTAGATCACCTTACATAATCCTAAGGTAAAAATATATATGTATATACTTGGAAAATTTATTATTCTTGAACCTTGTTTTTAAAAATTCTAATTTTTTTTAATTTTCTTGGGATTTAGGTTTGGGAAAACTCTAATTAAGTTTTCATTTGGTTTTTCATATCTTTATTTCATTTTTAAAAGGAAAAACAAACAACAACAAACAAACAACGCTTTTTTGTATAAAAAGCCAAAACGGCTTCATCGACAAAGCACTCACAAAACAAACAAAAGCACAAAAAAATACAAACAACAAAAAATAAACAATACAAATAATACAATTCAAAAAAATTTAAGTCATTAAAATAACAAAAAGAATATACATGGACAATTGCAGAACAGTACGCAGTAAATAGATATAATTTTAGAGTTATAAAATATTAAATACTTGACCTTTGACCAGTGTGTGAGATGATCAAAATTTTAAAATTCAAAATTGTTCATAATTAAACATCAACAAAAAACTCGATTACCGAATATAGGGCTCTCTCCAGTAAATATGATTTTAGAGCTTTGCGAAATGCGGGAAAGAATGAAAGCGACTTGATATTCAAAGGCAGATGATTGTACATTTTTTTGGCATTGTACAGTATTGAGCCTTTAACTAGTTCTGAGCTCGGGGTTGGCAGATAAAGATCGTGCTCTGCATTCCTAAGGGGATAGTTATGAGATGGCCTTTCGGGAATAGCAGATATAAAAAAAAACGGTTCGGCCAAACATTACAGCCTTCATCAGTGTAGTGTCAAATCAAAAAAACAGTGTCGAACATAATCCAAAAATTACATACAAAAAATTCACAAACTATAATTATAGTAAACATTATGTTATGTGTGTTTGTGAATTTTTTGTATGTAATTTTTGGATTATGTGCGACACTGTTTTTTGATTTGACACTACACTGATGAAGGCTGTAATGTTTGGCCGAAACTTTTGTTTTTCCTTTTAAAAATGAAATAAAAATATGAAAAACCAAATGAAAACTTAATTAGAGTTTTCCCGAACCTAAATCCCAAGAAAATAAAAAAAATCAGAATAAATATATTTCGGTAATTTCAGTGATTTAATAAATAAATAAAACATTATTATAAATACAAGAACTGCTCGGAAATCAAAACTATAGACTATGCTTTACTTAGATGGTCTATACTTACTTTGCTATAAATACCGTAATCTTAAGTCATACAGGGTTTTCAAAATTCTACGCCAAATTTTCAAAAACATGAAATAAATTTTCTTCGTTTAAAATTACTCCAAAAAAATCACCTCTATAGGGGAATTAAAAGAATATGGATACTTATATTAATAACATTTGCTGGGATATATTTCTCGGTATTTCTAAATATCTTAAGTATTAAGTCAGTTTGTAAAATTTTAATTTTATTTTGTAATGACTTTTGATCCATATGTAATATCTGAATTTTTTTAACTAATTCATTTTAAATATATATCAAAATCTTATCTCAAAATTATTTATTACTTTTTGGATTTCGGCGGCGATCGACCCAAATTGGCCTCACGATCGACCGGTCAATCGCGATCGACTTGTTGGCCACCCTTGGTCTAGATAATGAACAAGAACTTTGTATGTGTTACTTTTTTATTGTCTGTCTGTGTTGCGTTTTTTATCTATGATCCCACATTTGATTCTTTAGTCCAGCTACTTTACTAGTTCAATTTTCGATTAATGTCTTAAGTTTTTTCAAGTCGTAAGAAAAAGATTACACTGACAAATTGAACACTATACAGGGTGTCCCAGAAATAAGTGTAAAGAAACATATTTTCTCTTTATCGTTTTTCAAACAAGTCCAAAATAACGCAGTTATTTTACTAAAAAAATGATTTTTTGCTAAAATTTTGAGAACCACTGGATCTTTTCTGGATTTTCTTTCCTGTAAATTTAATCTAATACCTATATTGCCATATTATCAAGAAATTATGCTTTTTAACAAAAAACTAAAGAAATTTCCAAAAAAAAATTTCAAAAAATTTCGAATTTTCAAAAATATTCACAACCTCATAGGCGTGTTTCTGGGGTTGAACTATACTACCAGTTAAAGTACTTGCACTTATTTCTGGGACACCCTGTATAAACGTAATAAAAAAAATTAATATTGAACCTCAACGACAAGTGACCTGAATATCAATTTCTGAGTTTATAAATCCAACATTATTGGAAATAGGGACGTATGATACGTTCAATAGGATTTACAGGGTGTTTCAAAAAGCATGTGCCACATCTCGTAGCGAGATTCACCATGTAAAAATACGATTTATTTTGTATATCAACATAAGTCCGATTCTGCTTCATTTATTTTCAATTTATTATAATTTTAATTGCTATTAGTCTTGGATTAAGGCAAATTAATAAAATTGTGTTTATCATCAAATCGACAAAATATCAAGAAACAATTTTAATCGACATTAAACAGCACACAATTGTGCTCACAAGAGAAAAAAGTCAGTGGTGCACAAGATTTTTTTATAAAAATATTTCAGTGTTTTTTAGTTTTTACGTCCCTGGTAAGTCTGTCGACTCTTTTCTAGTATTAAAATATGTCTCAGTTAGAGTAACTTTTACCCTCAAAATTTCATTTGAATCGCTAAAAGCAATTAGAAGAAAATTATAATAAATTGAAAAAATTAAGACTTTGACACCCTGTAGCTTAGAAACAAAGCAGAATCCGACCTTATGTCGATATAAAAAATACATCTTATTTTTACGTGAGGAATCTCCCCACGAGAGATGGCACATCTTTTTTGAAACACCCTGTATATTGTGTATGCATTCGAATGATGTTATGTATCCATTCTCTAACATTCTATACTCAAAATATCGATATTTTCAATATAGTGTAAACGAAATACAGGGTTTTCAAAGATATTTCGTGCCATACTTACTGGCTCACACAGAATCTGGCTTACTTATTGGAGGTAGGAAAAAATATAAATGTAGGACTTGTAGGGTTTTACCTGAGTGCCAGAGAGAAATAAAAATAAACAAAAGATCACCAGGAAGTTAAGAAAAACTTCATTTTATTTAAAGGAACACCTTGTAATTTTTAAGTTTTTGAAAGTATTTCCAGGCCTGGATCATGGACATGACCATCGATTACATGCCCTATATAATTTTATATATAAAATAACAGCGATCTTCATTTCCAAGCCATCTATGACACATTTGTTTTTTCGATCGTATGGTACAATTATTATAATTGACGTAATGTACTGTCTGTGTTACTATATTGAAAGTATTGATAGAAAGAGCTACTGAGTATCCAATAAAGTATATCGATATTCTGGCTCGTATATCTTCCGTCCCTACTGGCAAATGTTTTGGTAATATAGCCATGATACAAATATAAATTATTCAATGTTTTTTCTAGTACTACTTTGTTGCTCAGTACTACACATTATGTTGCTTTAAATGTGTGTGTTTTTAATAATAATTGTTTTAGGGGGGCATCCATTAATTACTTGAGGTGTTTTTGAGGAATATTTGACCCCTTGGTGAGGGTGAGATATCATGAGATTTGCTTGGACCCTTGCTGGAAGTACACACTCGCCGAGGCGACCCGAGGCGCGACGAAAAATTGATGATATGTACATTGTTATTGGTTAGAACGTGGTTAGGACCGTCCTTTTTTGTCGCGCCTCGGGTTGCCTCGGCGAGTGGGTACTTCCAGCAGAAGAGTATATGAAATCTTTAGACTTATTTAAAGATAGACAATTTGCACTATTATTTTTATTAAGACTCGAAAAGACAATGGTATTTGAGATTGTCTAGATCGTGCTGTTTTGCGGCGTTCAGATAACCGCGATAAATATTAAATTACTAGAAATTTATAGGTATATAAATTGCGCGCCATAATTTTTCAACTAATAGGGAATCTCGGGGACCACATTTTCGATAATTCTAAAATATTTGATTTTTTTTGATATAGTAATACCACAGGTAATACTAAATAACTTTACATCTAATCGAAGACTTTAATATACCGGGTGTTTCTAAAAGTGACCCACCCCTATAACTTTTTTATTTTTTTAGATAAAAAAACGATATTTAGTATATTAGTAAATGAAATAAATTAGGATTGATTGACGTATTCAATTGTTTTCGGTCACTTGTGACCCTCTGAATAGAATGACATAGAATATATCAACTTTTGACGTTTTCGCTTAAAAAAATCATATTCTCAACTTCAATCTAAAGTGCCATGCCTGTGTTAAAAAACTAATTTTTAATCAAGGAACTTTGGAAAAATATATTTGATCGTCTAATGTGTTTTATCCTGGCCTGTTAAAAGATGCCCAAAGCGTATTTTTAATCATATTTCAATTTTTCCAAATGGAACGAGGGTGGCTCATTAGCATATTTGGAAAAAGCCTTTTTTACGAATAATTTGGTACCACACACTTGGTATTTCAAATAAACCATATACCGAAAATGTCAAAAGTTCATATAAGATATGTGATTCTATTCAGAGTGCGATTTTATATCGAATAAAGTAAAGCAATGCCAAGGTTGTCATTTAAAAAAATCAATT